GCAGCTGTATACATAGATCTAGTATACATGTACAGCATGTGTACTAGATGTATAGCAGCTGCATAGCAGCTATATCGACTTTTCAGAAGTGATCTTTTTTCCTTTCTCACTTACTACAAAAGAACATAAAGAAAGATTTTGAAAACACTATTCTTTGGAACCAGCAACTGATAAAGCCTGCAAACCAACATAAAAACATGTGAGTCATGTGATGCATGATCTTGATAGTACAGCATGATAATACAGCCATTCCCATGGGTTACTGAGAGTTCAGATTGCTGCCATAATTTAGTAGCTGGCACAGATTAGAATGAAATTACTCTGCAAAGCACTGACTGTTCTCATCAGAAGTTACCAACCTAGTAAGAGGAGCACTACAGACAAGGATAAGAAAAGTGGAATTGCATCACATTACCGACAGCTTGGGTGGTGGCCCCATCTTCCTACTGATCTATTATGTTTCCACATACCAGAAGACAAAGCTAAATATGTGATGTGTCATAAACATCTAGCTCAATTAAGAGAGTCTTCTTCCTGTTAACCCTTTCCCAACACATACACATTTTGATGTGAATATTATTTATCCACCTAACTTGTATACTACAAAAATAAATAGTAGGAAGTCTTTCCTCTTAACTACTCTTTTCTTTCTCTAAAGGACTTTGTTTCCAGAGTGACAGAATACATTTACCTTTTCAGTAGTTTGCCTCTGTTACATGCTCAGCAGGATACACCTCTGACAAGAGACAATGTAAGCTATCCTCAATGGGCAAACACCTGTTCTGTTTATCTTTACAAAGGTAAACGGCTTGAGTGTGTAATAATTTATGTCTTGGACAAATACTTCAGTTTCCTTAAACTCTTTCTATTAAACATTACACATGTTTATACTATATGCTGGGACGGAGTTAGGAGATTTCCGAGCTAGTGCACACTTGATCCTGTAAATCCAGGTGGCAGTGGAACACTCTGCAACTATATAAGCACACGTCCTGAACCAGTACAACTGCTTTCTTTGGAACATAGCACCTGCAGTGATGTGGCTTTCTGGCTTGGATAAGTTTGTGCAGACACAGCTAACCATACATTGCATTTTCATGCAATGTTCTGACACTGACTCATAATGGACCAGTGAGTGGATTGTCTTGCCTCCCCTCCTTCAGTTCTACATACATAAACTTCTAAAATCTTACCAAAATGTAATGCTAAAGTTGAATACAAGGACAGCTTTTTTCTTAACTTGACTGAATCTTGATGACAGGTGCATACTGGAAATATCAGAAAAGTTCTGAAGGTGCATTTCCCATAGACCCATAAAAATCACAGACATAAACATGAGTGAAAACTAAAGTTTTCCCCTCCCAAATAAAGATAAAAATCATCAATTTTCATGTCACCATTTGGAGGTCTTTAACTGACATGACTGTTGTTTGCCTTCCTGAGCTGGGTAATAGAGACTGAACAAAAGCATTAAAGGTGCACATGATCCATCAACTTACGTGTTTCAGCTTCTCTCGTCATGGGTGGTCTATCCAGGGTAGATTAAGACTCAGAAGTTGCTGACACCATAAAAAAAGAAGCAAGTATTGTTCAAGTTCCTTGCTTTTAAAGGGATCATTTTCCATTTTCTCATCTCAAAGGATTGCCTTTGTAGCTGTAGCAGGAGAGCATTTCATTGCTCTCACTTCTGTGTACCATTTATCTTGAGATGTCAGATGTTGTCAGGTGCATTTTCAAAGGTACAAGATGCAGAACATGGTGAAGCATCATTACTGAAAGAACATGATCTTACCAAGATATTGTGGAAATTGGAGCACATGATTGTTGCTCATGCAAAGGTCATGTCCTAACCTCTTGCTTTAGTTTATATGATGATGAGTTTTTTTCCACTTCTTGCTTTTGCTTTCTCTCCTTTTTTTTTTTTTTTATTTCCTTCCCCTCCTTCCTCTCCTTTTCGTATACCTCACTTTCCAGTCTCTGATTTTTTATTTAAACATTCATTGCACCCTCTGATAATTATCTCGTTGTTTAGTCATGGGTGCATGATTTCCATTTTGCTGCCATTAGTGTAAGTAAATTCCCGTTCTCCCAGCAATTCTGTGTGAAAATAAGCATGAGCATTAATCATTTTTCAGCTCACAGACAAAGGATAATGGCACTGGCTAATAGAATAATGAATGTAAGAACTGCAGCAGTTGTCCAGTATTATTCTAGAGTAGACAAACTTCTTGACTTGTCTTTATTTTATGAATTGTCATCTTATTGTTTCTTATGAGGAAAAACTATAACATCTCCACCTACTATGTATTGCATCTTAGTAAAAATTTCTACACCAGACATGCTAAAAATATTTTGGTCAGTTTGATGCTGCTATTACTTTTTATCACAGTTGACACTGTCCTTGTGCCACAGCACAGACCACTGGCACTGTGCATCTGTTAGCTCTTGTGCATTCCCCAGCTTTGGATCCACCACATACAAATTTAGGAGCCAGTTGGAAATGGAAGAAACCAGTGGAGCAGCCGAGAGCTTTCTTTCATTTGCGTCAGTATTTTAGCTGTGTTTATACTGATCCTTACAACAACAGGATCCATGAAAGAATCTCTGCAAAAAACCCAGAAGAAACCAATGTAGTAAAATTAAATTTTCAGTTACTTTTTCTTTAAAAAAATAAAAGAATTTTGCCTGATTGTGCTATCTGCTTGACTACATGAAATCAAATCCCTGAAACCGCAAATACTTTCAGAATTATTTATGGAAATTAATTTTATCCTGACAGAAATAATACCTTACATCATAGAGAAGAGCTATAAAAGCAGACTAAATCACTGGCAAACATTCTTTATCACTTTGGCTAAGTAATTAAAAATTAATTTCTTGCAAAGAAATCCTTTGTGGGAGAGTGCATTATCTGCCTTCCCTCTTTGTGGCCTGTGGTATGAAAGTGCATTCATCAACAAGAGACACTATCATGGTGCTGCTGTGCTCCAATGGCTCCTGGTTGCAGAGCAATATCTCAGGGTTGCAAGCTGGGTGTATCATTCCTAGGTCAAGCCATCTTGAAGTGATTGGGACACAGTGAATATCGAAACCATACTCTGAAGAAGCAGCACACAGCTCTTTACTGCTAGTCTATATTACAGATGATTGGAATATGACAGAATATATTTATTCATACAAAAAAAAAAAAAAAACGAAAAAACACAGACCAAAAAAAAAATAAACCTGGATTTTTTTTCCTGATAAAGTGGAAAAATAAATTTCTTCTCAAGGAAGGCAAAAAGGTAGAAATACATATACTTCATTAGTCCTGTCCAGGATATGTGTTTTTTAGTTAGTTGAGTTGCCAGCAGTAGTGTAGTTTTATTTCTCTGCACTGACATTTCTAATCATAGAAAGCTGGGAAAAATCTCTATGGTCATTGAGTCCAGCCATCAACCTAACTCTGCAGGTCCTCAGTCCCCCATGTCCCTAAGTGCAACATCTACATGTCTTTGGAACACTCCAGGGATAGTGATTCCACCACTTCCCTGGGGAACCTGTTCCAATTCTTGACCACCCTTTCAGTGAAGAATTTTTCCTTAATGCCCCATCTAAACTTCCAACCATGTAACTTGAAGCTGTTTCCACTCGTCATTTGGGAGAAGAGGCCAACCCTCACCTTGCTAAAGCTGCCTTTCGGGTAACTGTAGAAAGCAGTAGGATCTCACCTAAGCCTCCTTTTCTCCAGGCTACACACCACCAGCTCCTTCAGCCACTCATTATTATGTTGCAAAATGTGGAATATGTAAAAATTTCCTTAAGAAAATATGTTCTTTGATGTTAGATTTTTGTATACTTTCAAGATTAATCCAAAAGAGATTTATTCTGTGAAACAGAGAGCAGCTAACAAGCAAACTCTAAGTGATGCCCAGGTGTTAGACAAATTAGTTGTTGTTACAACTGCTTTGCAAAAGTTTAGAGCTTGACATGTTTCAAGATCTCAGACCTAAAGGAGGTTAACAAAGCTTGGGAATAAGGATGTATCACTGATAGTGGACAGAAGGAATGTAGAATTTACAGGCCACAAGGACATTTGGCAGAACCCCCAAGATAAGGAAGAAACTAATGAAGACAGCTCAGCAATTGTGCTGAATCAGGTCCGGTTGGGTAAAAGGTAATTGGCAGTGGGTAAATTGTGACCACTGACTCACAGCCATGGACCCAGAAGAGAAAGACTGAGTACGTGAGCTAATCAGCATCAAAAGTGAGATAATCATTAATCAACAGAAGATAGAATACTGATTATTAAGGGAACTATGTAACTTGTAGACAATAGACCTTAATGCCTTTGTTTGCTAAAATGTATAAACAATGAAAAGTTTTGGTAGTTGTCATGCTGGCTTTGTGGAATTGCCACCCAGCGTCCCTTCCCGTGCAGAACTGTAAACACATCAAAGACCTTGACTGTCTGTGTGGTTTGGCCTCTTGAACACCGGGTGAAAAAAAACCTTTTTGGGACAATTAGACTTGTGCTCCAGACCCCTCAGCAGTTCTGCTGCCCTCCTTTGGACAAGCTTCAGCCCCTCAATGTCGCTCTTGCCGTGAGGGGCTCAAAAGTGGACACACAGTTCAAGATGTGGCCTCACTAGTGCACAGGGGCTGGCCACATTTTATCTGGCAGAAACCAGGATGCCATTGGCCTTCTTGGCCACATGGACACACACTGTTTCATGTTAAACGGCTGTCAACCCCAGATCCTTTTCCACCTGGCCGCTGTCCAGCCACTCCGTCCCAAATCCGTGATGCTCTTGCAACCCAACGGCGGAACCCGGATGTTCAGGCCAAGGCCCGAAGGCGAGGAGAGGAAGCGCCACGGGGTTTGTGGGAGGAACCAGCGCGATTCTGACCGAGGGGCCCGCAGCGGAGATCGCCGTCCGCCGCAGGGGAGGCGGAACCCTGGGGACGGCCCCGGTCGTCAGCCGGCGCCCGTTCGCCGCGGCCTTCCGCCGTCCCGCCGTTACCTCGGCAACGGCGCCGCCGGCGAAGCGCGCAGCCCGGGCCCGGCCGCAGGATGGTGAGGGGCGGCGGGGCGGTGTGGGATCGCAGGATGGTGAGGGGCGGCGGGGCAGTGTGGGATCGCACGATGGTGAGGGGCGGCGGGGCGGTGTGGGGTCGCAGGATGGTGAGGGGCGACGGGGGAGGCACCGCCAAGGGAGGGCCCGCTCTGACCCAGCTCCTCTTTACTCTCTGCCCAGATGCTCTCGCGGGCCAAGCCGGCCGTGGGGGGTACCCCGCCGCCGGGAGACAGGCGGAGGAAGAAAGGGAAGGAGGTGCCACAGTTGGAAGAACTCTTGGCCCAGAGAGACTTCACCGGCGCGATCGCCTTGCTGGAGGTGACGAGCTCCCCTTGGGAGAGTGGTATCGCAGCATCCCTGTGCCCTCAGGGCAGCGGGGCAAGAGCACCCCTTTCCCTGCCTTGTGACCCTCTCGCTCTCCTGGGACCCTGCAGCAGCATCTATTGCTCCCCACTTCACAGAGCTGGGTTTGGCCTGTGAGGGCTGCCTGCTGCTGCCCTCTGAAGTGTGAAAGTAGCTCCATCCCAGTAGCATCCATAGCTGTCAAACCATTCATGGTATATCATAGCCTAGTATTGCTTTGGTTATCAGTGGGGTTTTAGAAACTGTGGCAGCTGACTAAATTCTTACATTCTTTATTCTCTACAAAGTTTAAACAGCACGTGGGTGAGGAGGAGGAGGAGGAGGATGGCAACCTTTGGATTGGATACTGTGCATTTCATTTGGGTGACTACAAGAGAGCTCTAGAGGTAAGGTGGGGAAATCCTGCTTCCCGAGGTTGGAAATTGGGATGTTGTGGTAAAGCAATGACAACAGGAGGAAGATGGTCTATAATAGGGATCAGCCCTGCTAGCCAGTTAAGGTACAAATGTACAGTAATAAGGCAGATATTGTGGAAAGCAGTTTGGATTGGGAAAAAAAAGGTATTTTGCCTATGAATATGGAACTTTTTTATTGTTAGGTACTTGCTTACTTGATACTAGGCTCAGTAGCTTAATTTGTTCTGTTGAGTGTCAGTTCATGTCCTAAATCCATCATTCCCTTTTTTCAGCTAGGTTTCCACTGTTTCATTTTTCAGATTTAATAATGTTTCTGTCTTCATTTTGTAGCTTATCTGTGATAGGTATAAAAAAATTCTTTCGTTAAGGGTTGATGCCCATGACCGTTTAATGTCCTTTATGGCTTTTCTTTGCATTTTTATTGTATTAGGTAATTCAATTAAATGAAGCTGTCTTTTTTTCTAAAAGCATTAAGTCACTAAAATATATGTTAATTGTTCAAATATGTACATTTTAATGTTTGTCTCTTAGAGTTCTGTTGTGTCTCTTCACTGTGAAGTGTAACTGAAGTATAGCAGGTTTTGCAGTCTTTGGACTTGCTTTCCCCAGAATTAATATTAAAAACAGATGTTAAAGTATTAACAAAAGATAATAAAAAGAAAAGAAATAGATTATAGAACAGTGATGATATTTTCTCTCTTAGATAAATGATCACATGCACAAGATACACACATGAGGTGGAAATTGTAAAGCTTTTAAGAAAGGCACAAGGCACTGTGCCCTTTAAAAATTGAGGAGGAAAACATCTGTTGGAGATACTAGAAATGCTCAGTGAATCAAATTGACAGTATGCACAGTATAGAATATAGAATAGCAGTACAGGACATCATGGTAAATTAATATTCATGTTTAGACTTGTGGAATTTAAATATTATGAGTACAACAATGAGTCACTGTAGTTAATTTACATCTAGGCATTAGATGTTAGTAGGGAGTGCAAGTTTAAAAAGAAGAAAAGTGTTCATATACAAATGAAAAATAACTTGAAACTTCTTTGAAATAAATTCTGATTTTTTTTAAATACCCAGTTGATGCTTTTATAGCCAGAGTAGATTTTACATGTTTCCTTCAATGAAAAGTCAACTGCTTTTTTTAAATGTTCCTAATTAGTTTTTGCATGTGGTGTTTGATTCACCACTAGGTGATGCTCTTGACTCAGGTTTTTTAAAACTGCAACATAGTCATCTTTTTCCCGTTTTTCTGCCCAAGAAGGGACAATAAAAGATTTGTATGAGTGATTTGTAGTTTGTTTGTATATGTTTTGAGTGAGAGACCATAGGGCTTGTCTTTCCAGATTTAATACTGGTTTTTCTCACAGAGGTAAGTCCTGATAGTTTTATCCTTTTGTGATGTGGGAAATGAGCCTATGCATCTCAGCCTAGTTTCTTCAGGGACAGAACACTCTAGTTTTAATTTCTAAGGCTGTAGGTCTCATTGCACCATGGAGACTGAACTGCCTTTCAGTTACCAACTTCTATTTTGAAATGTAAAATTCTGTTATCTTGTCTGCTATGTTACAGAGGTGTTGTTACTGTATTCTCAAGGACAAATTCCTTGATAATCTGTACCCTTGAGATCTTAGAGCACTCTTTGGGGAGTGCCAAAACACTGTAAATAAAATACTATGGGTCAAAGATTCTACAGAATTCTCCGGAGACATTGCACACAACCTAAATTGTTTACATTCCTGTGTGTTCCTGCAAGTGACAACGCATAATCTGTGTCACTATATTCATAGTTCATGGTTTATATTCCATGTACCTGATGAGGATCTTCAGAAATCACACTGTTCAATGCTTTTATTAATGATGATATTTTCACAGTGAGCCAAGCGTGTTGGTTGCATAGCAAATTTTGGAGAAGCTTGGGAATTGTGGTGAGGTGGCCATTATGCACCATGGGGAGAAATGGGGAAGAAGTGGGAAACACACAGATGTCCAGCTTCACAAATATCTCTAAACAGCAAAATCTCTGTCACATTCATGTGAGAGAATTCACATTTTCTTATCACAGGTACCCCAACAACAGTTAGGTATCCTCTAGGTAGTGCATTAACCTCAGCCTCACTAGGGTCACAGTTTCCCTTAACAGCAGATGCCTTTCTCAAAGGTTATGCCACTGACACTGGTCTGGTGGGATCATCCCTACTGCTGTACCCCAGTTTACAAATGGTATTGCAATGGGATTGACTCTTCATGGTGCAGTTCTTTCTTGGAGACTGACTAGCTTCCTTCATGGACAAACTTATTTTTACTGAGTAGCTTATGTCTTCCTGGCATCATATGGCAAGCAGGGCTTCCCTAGAATATGGTGACATCTAATTATTTTCCTGGAATCTCCCACATCTAGTATCCATAATGGGGAAAAACCCGTCTGTCTTTCTGCAGTAGCTGCCATTTGTTCATAGCTCTAATCTTAAATCTTCTGAAAAATTTCTCAGTGTCACCAAAGAACTAGAACATTAGGCCAATTATTCTGTTTCTGAGCTGCCTGGTCTTACAAATTGAAGCAGCTGTGGCCTTAAGAAAGTGAGGGTTGTTTATTATTATTATTATTATTATTATTATTATTATTAGTATCTATATATCTATATATATCTATATGGATAGATAGATAGATAGATAGATAGATAGATAGATAGATAGATATGTATATACACAAGTGTATTTTTAAAAATTTATGAGACAATTGGCACGGGCAGATGTACTTCTTGGTTGGATTCAAGAACAAGTTTCACACTTGCAATCTGTACTCTCTCCCTCTGGGCACACAGGATGCTGGCATAGTGCAGCTGCTGGACATGGTAATGCCATTTTGGTCCATCAGCTGCGCGCACGAGAGCAAAGAATGATCCCTGGGCCAGAGCCTTCAGTGCATTGTTTCTGTCAAAATCCTAAACCTACATACAGCCAGTGACAGTCTCTCCAATCTGCCACCTCTCTCCTGGCAGAGAAGTTGGAGCCATTCCACCACTTCACTGAACAGGACCTCCTGCCAGCTTGGTTCAGAGTAATTTTAGTCAAATAGTAAATCATGGAAAGAGCAGAGCTGTACTAGGTAATTGTCCATCCATGAGCAGTATCTGGTCATGCTTGAGCAGTTCTGTGGGAAGTGTGAGAATACAGGTACACTCCAGTTCCTGACAGCTGAAGATAGAAAGTCAAATGTGGATTTTTTAGTTCTGGGAGTTCCCTAGGCGTCTCTATCATGACTGTAGCCAGGTTACAATAAGTATCTCATTTGAGCACCTGCGGAGCAGCCATTATGCGTTGGCTTGTTTATTGGCTCTTCAGCATCTGTGTTCATGGGCTTGGGGAATCCAGACAAGTAATAAGGGCATTGAGCTGGCCCTCCACATTGTCAGTATGTGTCCATAGTTGTAGGCAATCAACCTGGCAGTCTGCTTTTGAGGAAAACTGCTTGTGTCTAGTGATAGAGGCATGAGGAAGAGGAGAGTAAAATAACAAGGAGTTGTTAATGGAGCTGGATGGCAGAAGTATGCCACAGGTTGACTCTTAGGCCAGGTTTGAGAGTATTTAGGTGTTTTTTGTGTTTGTTGGTTTATTTGGAAAGGAGGGGGGAAAGTTCTTGTGAAGTAGTCTTTGAGAGACTGATGTTGAATGGCTTTCAGTGAGGAAGAGTGCAATAGCACATAGTCCAGTCACATGGCTCGGAACTATAGGATAAGGAGCACTAACAGTCCTAATTTTTATTTGCTGTTTCCATAGATTCACATTGGTACAGCTAGAACATTCTATATATTGCTTGCTTTGAATGGCCAAGCCAGAATATGACTTGTGTTTATGCACTTTGTCTTTTCTAATTATGCTGCCTGAAGTCAAAAGAGACCTTTGGGTACATTTAATCTGAATGAATTTTGAAAGATTCCAGATGGTCCCAATAAACAGCAGTGGCCTATCTCTCAGAGCTCCATGACAGGCCTACATCAAGATTAAGCTGGCCTCAGTAGGAAAGGTTGGCCCCTATGTAAATGTTTTCTTTTAAAAAATTATTATTATTATTATTGTTATTATTATTAACAATAATAATAACAATAATAATGATGATGGTGATGATGATGATGATGATGTAATATTTATTTATTGAAAATGTTGTTGGACAGCTAGTCCCTGAAATACAAGCAAGACTGAGCTGGCTTTTAAGGGTGCTCCTTACCAGTATCTTCTCTGTTTGAGAGTGCAGTTTACTTTTATTTGGCAACAAAAAAATAATTAATTATGCTTGCAAACTCTAACCTTATTGTTGCCAGGATGTTTGTGATCTTGGGATTTGCTGCTCTTTGGGCATGGCTTATTTTATCTCGTGCTGTAAATATATATCTGTCCTTTTCCCCAGAGGTAAGAAGTCTCCCACCCACAGAGTCTCAATCTGCTAAACTTTCCCTATGTAGAGGGGACTTCCAGTTCACATGTTTGGAGAACAAGTACAGAGTCAGTAAGGGGCTGTTTTACTGGGAGGGATGAGCGGCTGGCAGTGATCTGGAGTACATGGATGACATTCCTTCAGCAGGTCTTGTGAGAACCTTATGTGACCCTGCCTGCTTTGCATTATACTGCCTGTCTCCATGGCTGGATGAAGAGCAGGAGCACAAGCAGCAGGCACTTCCATTGGGAATTCCAAGGATGGTCCTTCCTTGAAATTTATCAGAGCTGTGACATAGGAAAAAATGGTATTTAGAGTTCTCCAGGCCTCTGTTTTTAGTACCTGTTGTTGCTCTGACAAAAGATGCTTATCCTTAGGAATTTAATTGTTAAGTGGCTGCAAAGATTTTTTGTTTAAAAGAAGCAGATTGAAAGATTGATCTGTTAAGTTTTTGCTGTTTTCACAAATAATAAGAAATGAAGCAGTTTGTGTGGCACAGTTAAAGGATATGTAATGAATGTGGATGTATAAAAAATATAAGAATATATTATTTAGTGCCTTTATATAGCTGTTGGCTGTAAATCTTAAAATGGGGAATGGTAAAGTTAGGAACAGATTATTAATATTTACTGCAAATTATTAATCTTCATCTATAATAAAATCTTGAATATGGCAAATACCAATTTATAGGCTTGCATTTTAATGCAGTGGTCTCCAATTAATTTTGCTTTTTGTACCCCTATTAGTAAAAAATTTCTGAGTACACACCCCCAATGTATATACACATATCTATACATTTATAAATTATATACATGTACCACTCTACTAATATGCAATTATAAAAAATACACAAAAATAGGAACTAAAAAAAGGATGTGATAAAATTAAACACTATTTGAAAATACTTATTTTAGTTATTAGTTGTACAAAAAAATTTTCTTCCTGCACTTGATGTTATTATATTGCATAACCTCAGACTTAACACACACTTTCACAGGTTTAATATACACTAAGACACCACCTACAGGTTTACAAAAACGCATTTAACAGTAAGTGCTCACAAAGAGATACCCCTGGTGCTTATGGCTGCCAGGCTTTGACTGGAGAAGAACTTAGGAAAGCAACAGAAACTGGTTATATTGATGCCTTTATAACTTACATATATTGGGGCTTATATATGTAAATAATATTTTTATAATAATATATTTACAATACAAATGTGTTTTATATCTCTGTAATTTCAATGTTGACAGAAATTGCACTTACATGTGATGATTTATGGCACTGCTTGTCCCTGTGGTCTCTTATATTGCTGTAAACAAAAAAGTAGGGACATAGCTTAAAACATAATAGTTTTGTTGTAAGGACTGCATGGTTTGATCCCAGTAATTTAATGATACATTGTAAAATTGTGGAAGAAGGAATGATATTTAATACAAGTATGTGTTATTACACACTTTTTAAACATCAACCCTCTGTTCTGTTACAGGAATATGAGGCTTTAACCAAGCAACCAACTTGCAATCCAGATGTTTGGGTGAACCTTGCCTGTACATACTTCCTTCTGGGGATGTATACACAAGCAGAGCAAGCAGCTTTGAAAGGTGAGATGTATGCTTCTGTTGGAAAAGACTGCTTATTTATTTGTACACTTAAAGTAATTTCCAGACAAAGTATGCAGTAAAGAATTTTGAGCAAAGTTTTTTGGGTTTGGTATTTTGTTTGGGGGCTTGTTAATTTTAACTTTCATTTAACAGGAGAATTATGATGCAGTTTCCTTCCTAAAAATACCTTTGGCATATGGAGCAGCTGGAACTAAAAGAAGCATCTGGAAAATAATTTCTCTTAACAATTTTAAATATAAAACCCAGCATATGCCAACCAGCAACAAATGGTTACATTTCTTTTGACTGATTCTGTGTCCCTCAGCCAGCACAGATGAAGCAGATTAAGCCAGTGAAATTATAAAAAAATAAGCATCTGAGAGAATTCAGCATTCTCCCTGATGAAGACAAGAGCTCTGTTTACGTAGTTTGAGTGACTTAGTAGGTGGTCTCGTTGCCTGGTAAGTCACATGTTAGGTATCTGATTCTTCAAGGCATGGAGCTCAATAGTCACATTATTACAGTTCTACTTTAATCTGAACATGCATGGGATCATTTAAAGAGAAGGAATGGAAATTAGATTCCAGGGAAATTTTTACTGCCTAAAAATGTTTCTGTAGTTTAATTTTGTTGTCCATCACTTTTTATGTATCTTAGTGATTTATATTGTTTTCTATAACCATAGTATCTCAGTGCTTTTTAAGTAGAATTAATAGTAGTGATATCTCACTCAACTTATGACTCTTGCCTTCTTAGGGGAAAACTCTTACTGAAGGATTGTTTTCTCCTTTCTTTCATTAGTCTTCTTGTCTTGGGCTGAAAATAGGGTAGGAAGAAAATAATCAAGTACTTTCTTCTGCTGCAAAGGAGAGCCTTTCAAAAGGACAGCTTTGTAGCATTTTTTAAAAATAATTAGGTTCCCATATCCCTTTAAAATCCTTGTAAAGATCATGCTGCACTTGAATCCCACAACTGGAAATGTTTTTTTATTTTCAGTTGTAAAAAATCTCATGCAAAGCTTTGTGATTTGTATTGTTCAAGAGGTGTGTAAATTTCTAATATTTACAAATAATTTAATCTTTAATGTACCAAAAATTTGAGCTTTGGAGATTGCAATGTAGGACTTGAAGTGAATCTAAAAATAAATGGGCAATAGAGCTTTGAGATGTCACTGTGACCTATAGCATGGAGGAAGCAAGCAGCTGCATCCTGTACGAGTTGGAGCCATTGTCACCAGCTTCACATCTTGTGAGTTACAGTAATCCATTCTAGAGATGACATATACAAAGCTGGGCATGCACATTTATTAACTGTGAGCTGGAGGTGTGGGAAGGTTAATGTTTGTCATGCCCCTTCAGATTAATTAATAGTAGTATGGTGAGTGGCAGAGTAAGGGGCGCAGTTAGTGGTACTTGGGTGCTGGAGGCAAGAGTAGGAATATTAAGAAAGCAAGGGTGGGAGGCAGTCTAGCTAAAGGAAAATAAGAAAATAACTGAGTGGTCACATTAGTTCAGTTCTTCATTTCATGTAATTCTTTAAGATGGACAGCATGCCAGTTTTTATAATGAAGTGCTAAACCTTTCTTGTGTGTACTGTAATCCTTGATTTCTGGCTACTTAACCTTGGTGAGGAAGCAGTCACAGGTGAGGATTTTTAGCACTTGTCCTTTCTCCGCTGAAAGCTTCCAAGTGTGGTATATCCCCCTTTCAATCATTCTTATATTGAGTTTAAACCTTTTTATTTTTCTTAAGTCAGATGCTCTTTTAGTTTTTTTTTATCAATTTCGGATTGCATCAGTGGTGGCTGCTTGCAATATATTGTTGACAGCTGAGACCATATAATCTTGTGCTCTCTTCCATGGTTTTGCAAAGATCTTGAAGGAGCAAAATACTTCCTTTGAACAGGTAAAGTCTCTAGAAGAGCACCATTTATCCAAAACTGCCTTGAATACCACTGAAAAATGATAGGTAGTGTTAATATTGGGCTGCTTACTATTGCTATTTTGGGATTATTTTGTCTGAATTCTTGTATAGTACATGCTGTTTATTGCTGCATTATGCTAAACCTCTGCAGGTAGCATACTGCTAAAACAAATGAAGGACAACTAATTTAGTTTCAGCTATAGTTCTAAATTTCTACAGTGACAGAATCTCTATGTGAAAGGGAACATCAATATCACCTAGCTTTCTGGAATAGGTTTTCCACACAAACATGTAAGTATCTTGAAATCAAGTCAAGTTCTTTCTTGCCATATACTGTTGCTGTTGCTTAAGGAAATTATTAACCATCATTCCATTAATGAGGAAAAATTTGCAGGATACTTAAAATTTAGGAAACAATCACTAAAAACCATGAGGTGATTAATGGATTCATATATAGTCCACAATCTCATGTGGGGCAAGAGATTATTTTATAATAAAGAGGCATATAAAATATAACTATTTCTTATATCTATATAAGATATAAAAGAGATTTATTTCTCTGCTCTGCTCTAGGGACACCCTACATGAAGTGCTGCATCCAGCTCTGGAGTCCCCAACATATTAAGGACATGGACCAGTTGGAGCCAGTCCAGAGAGGCCATCAAAATGATGAGAGGGATGGAACACCTTTCCTACAAGGAAAGGCAAAGAGAATTGGATTTTTCAGCTTGGAGAACAGAAGGCTTCAGGGAGACCTCACTGAGGCCTTCCAGTACCTAGATAAGGCTTACAGGAGAGCTTAACAGGAACCATTAACGCAGGCATGTAGTGATAGGACAAGGAGGAATGGCTTTTAACTGAAAGAGAGTAGGTTTAGATTAGATACAAGGAAGAAATTCTTCACTGTGAGGGTGGTGAGGGGTTGCCTAGAGAAGTTCCATCTCTGGTAGTGTTCAAAGTCAGGCTGAATAGGGCCTTGAGCAACCTGGTCTAGTGGAAAGTGTTCATGACTACGGCAGGGAGGTTGGAAATAAATGTCTTTAAGATCCTTTCCAGTCTAAGCCATTCTGTGATTTTATGATTCTCTCAGGAAAGAATGAGTCTGAATATCAAAAGTCATATAAAAAAGAATTACTGCAAATATAACCTAAGAAGTAGAGCAAATAAGCAATAAAGAAAAATCCCTCCTTGAAGGTTTTTCATTACAATTGTATTTTACCTCCTCTAGGCTTTCTTCCAAATTCCTTTCAGATATTTCTGGCTTCTCCTTTTCCCCTGTTGTCCGCTCACATTGCAGTTACTAATGTTCTTAATTCTGAGGTGAAGGTAGAGTTACTTCTAAGTCAGCTACTGTTGTTTTGTAATCATCACATAGTGAAGCTGCCAAGTGATGCTTTGCTGGCTCCTTTTGTATCTGTGTTCTCATACATTGGCTGAAAATATGTTTCCTGTGCTGTGGGTAGCCAATCTTTTCTTGACAGAATGAGCCTTAAACTATTGATCTTGATTTAGTATACAATAATAACAACAAATCATTATTTTTTTCATTATAAAAACTAAAACACTTATGTTGCATTCACAGTTCCTGTGCCTTGCAAAGGCCAAAGAACAGAAACTCAGTCTGGCACATTTGGACTGTGATCCTGGCAACTGATCCAAGTGTTTAGAAGCCTGCATAGTGCTCTCAGAACCTGTTGGCTTGCATTAAGAAAGAAACTAAGAACTAAAGCATAAGAACTAAAATTGTTCTTTTAAACCACAAAATGTGCACATAAGTGGGGCTGCAGTTAAGTCTGTTATGAAAAACAGTCTTTTCAGGATAAATGGAATCTTAGAATTAAATTTAAGATTCATGCACAAACAGGGTTGTATTGCTGAACCATTCATTAAAGTTGGGGTCTTTTTTAATTCCTTCCAATTTTTGATGGGAAAAGTTTTCTGATTGCTTTGCTTCTTCATATCTCTGCATGTGTCAGATGTGAATGTCGTTTAACTGAACAGAGAGCTCATTTTACAACCTATATTAAAAGGGGCAATACTGTACAAAAGCAGAACAGAGATGCGTTAGTAAGAACAATGACATTTTCCAAACCAGTTTCCAAACCATCATTGTTTGCGAAATAATGTTTTTCAGGTGTGAAATAGTTATCACCAATTAAAATATTCAGATACAAGCAGGCACAGAACAGTTACTGAGTTTTCCTTTTCTTAGGGTTGCATGTTCACCTACATGATTTTATCTGCCTTGTTGCTTGTGCTCTGTTTCTTAAGAACAGTAGTTACTTTTGGTGCATTTTAGCTGAGGTTTCAAGCCAGCTGTTTCATATATGAAACTCTCCACAAGTGAAAATATCACATGTTTAAACTCTAAAAGCTACTAACCGTATTTTCTTGTTTTGTTTTTTTAAGTATAGTGGAAGCTACAGCCCAGGAGTAATTAATTTGATGATCTTTAATTTACTATATTTTAATTTCAGTATGACTGAAATTAAATGTGTGCGAGTTGCAAGTAACTGAACATAACTGTCATTTAAGTTTTGTGGGAATGGGAAAATTTCAGTGAATATCCACTGTAAATTTCATTCAAGAAAATTGTACAGTTGAGCTGTTCAAGTGTCTGTAAGTGTAAACCTCACTACTGGACCATGGGGTTTTTTTTAACATTTTTCCCATTCTCTTTCATTTTCCCTTACACCAGTGAAACTTTGGTTTTGAGTTACAGAGGGCTTCATTCACCTACTATGTCCAGACGAGCAGTGTTGTTTTTCAGGGACAAGGAGAAAAAGGTTTCCTCTGGTCATGTTTTCTGCTGTCATGATGGAGCCTTCAAAGCCCTGCTCCGTTCTTACCAGCTCCTGCTACGTGTGTTTAACACGTTCTATGCCTGTTGATGGATGAAAGGCTGCTATAGAATGTGTAGTATGTGCTAGATGAGATTTGTTAATGCTGGATGCACTAACAAATAAGTGCCTTGCACTCTTTTGAGAGAGCACAAATGCCAGATTGTCCATGTCTGTATTTCATCATCCTTTTAGTGCCTGAGACAGCCATATAGAACCCCCCAAGAGTCTGAGCTGCCATTTCTAGTGAGTTTGATGTTTTGTTTTATAATTAGTGAAGACATTTTCTTCATTCTTACTGTAGTTGCTTACTATATTTTAAGAAATACTTCAGTGCCTGTCAGTGTCAGCACATAAAAATATACAGAACACTTTTAAGATCTATGACAGCTATGACGCTAGTGCCTGGGAAAAGAGCACTGATCATGATAAAATTTCTGGCAAAGGAGTATCAGTGCATTTCCTAGGTAGAAAGAGATATATCCTGATCAACTACTTCAGTGCTTGAGTACAAGGCTAGTACTAGACGTGGAGCAGGCCCCAGTTTGTTGCCATGCAGCATTGTAATCATGCACATTACGATCCCAAGATTGCTTAGTACTGATTTTAACAAAAAAAAAAAAATTTGTAGTCATTGTCTTGAAAAAGTAGAACAGGAAAAGAAGATTGTGCTTCCTTATAGCATTAATAGATCAGTGACAATGAAATTCAGTAGCAGCAGAGAGTAATAAAAGAGCAAACTAATGTCCCTTAAATGTCCCTTAAAAATTGTTATCTCTGATGAGACAGTTGTATCACTTCCTGCTCCAGTGATTGACAACATCTTTATCCAATATTCATGATCCCATTTTTTCTGAAAACTAATCTGACCTTGTTCATATGTTTCCTTGTATTCCTCAAAGGATGCATTTGGCACCAAGAGAAAATAAGCTGCTGATGTTGAATGTTTCCATATTTCTGCCTACTGTATTGACAGGGCTTTATTTGTGTGGGGTTACAAGCAACTTATTTTAAAGAATATCAGATAGCTAGTACTATGTTATATCTTATGAAGCAGGACACTTTTCCACCCTCCATATATCCATGCACACCATCAAAACTCAGATTTCATATTTCGCTTGTTTTTAGGTGTTAAATAATGTGGGCTAACACTCCAGCTTTTACCAAGAAGTAAATAATAATTTTGATCTCAGATCAGATGCCAGATTTGCAAGGGCAGCCTGCACTCACTGGTTGACCAATGAAACAAAAATTCCTTGGATTAGATTCTTGACAGTATTGCTTGCAAGTCACAATTTTCGTAGTGAAATTAATGCTAAAACAAACTCAAAAGGGGAAAAAAAAAAAAAGGAAAGCCTACTCAAAAAAGGAACATTGGTGTCTTTACCCATAGCACTGTGATTATACAATATGTTATTTTCAGTAGAAATCCCACAATCTGTCTTGCTTGTATTTTTGGAGTCTTTGATGACCAAATGTTTTGAATTGTGAAGGATGGTTGTGGTTGAAGTTTCTTACAAAAGTGTATGTAGGGTCCATGTGCAACTCTTCTAAACTTTGATATTAAAACCTATCAATTACTGCTGGGTAACATGTAGAGTGAAGAGCATGCATTTAAATTAAGGTACTCTCACTTTCTAAGGCAGTGGATGAAATATCCATACTATTGTGTCAGTTATAGTACTACAGCTGCCTATGCAATATTTATTGTAGATCAGAAAAACTTTCTGTTCTTTAATAAATCACCTAATTCCTGCATATATCCTAGACTGAAGACCATTTAGCTTCTTAACAACTTGATGCTCTTTTAGAACTATCTTACAAGATGCTGCGGTCTTGTGAGAGTGCTTTCATACCACCTTTGTATTTTGGACTTCTGTTCTAGTATTTCTTTAAATATACAGTTCACTGTCCTCATTTTTCTAGGAACATGGTTAAATAACACAGCTTGCTAAGGACAAAAGTGAAGAAATGGTTGCTGTACTTATTAGAAGTAGGTGGCCAGCCTTGTGCTGCCAATCTGATCAGAATGATGCCTGGGTTTTGGCACTGTTACTTTGTGTTACAAAGTTTACTTACTATGTGGAGAAAGAGTAAGAAACCTGGAAATCTCTCCCTAAATTGCTTTAAAAAAAAATAAATTCCATCTTCAGGGGGTGGTGGGGAAGAGGGAATGGTGGTTTGAGCCCTCTTATGGTTTAAGATGTCAGAAGAATTACAGCCTTGTGTTACAGGCTATTGCTGTGCTAACTCTGCACTTTTGTGGCCTTATAAACACAGTAAGTAATTCTGCTTTTTGTAAAGAGTCCATGTACACCCCTTCTGTGGAACATGCTTTGCCAGCTGGTTGGTCTGAGCAAGAATGAGAGTGCTCATTAGGCTAGGAAAAGTACAGGAAACAAGGGAAGGCTTTTTGGAAGATTGCTTGCAAAAGAAATTAATAGCTCTGTTTGACAAGGAGGTTTGTCGCTCTCAGTGAAGCAAAAGGCTTTAGTGACTTAAAACTCTGCAGTTTACAATTTGTGTCATATGGAGTGAATTCAATGAAATTTCCTAATCCTGCAAGAGCAAAAAAATTCATTAATTTTACTGGCTCTAGTAAGAAGATATCCCCCTTAAATCTCTTGCCATATCTTAGTTTGAATCTTATCTGCTCTGGCCATAGAATTCTTTTGTGTGCCTTTCATTCCTAAGGACAGAAGAAATATTAGAAGTGTAAGCGTGCCTAACAAAATGGTAGCAGCAATCAGTTTTTCAATACACTAGAAGTTGCTGAGATTCCTGGAATTATAAATCAAAACTTCCTTCAAATGTGACACATCACAGAAGGAGCCTTGAGTTTATCTACTGCTGCTTTTTGTTTTAAAACAAAAAATGTGTCACAAAAAAATCCTCAGAAAATTATCAAGAAATCACTGCAGGAAAATGACAATGCAATTTATAGAAGTTTTAAGGCTCATGGAAGGTAGAGGCCAATGAAAAATTATTTTCAACATAGACTTAAAAAGAAATAGTCAGGGAATGAGGAAGACCTCCAAACCACTCTCAAATTGGTAGAACCTCCCCCAGCTCATGACCTGCAAAGGGCTCTCCGTGAAGAACTGTACTTGGGCTAGTTAATGAAAGAATAGGGATGCTTTCATGTCTATTGAGAAAAAAAGTTTAAAATATAAAGACATAGCCTGTGAGTAGTTCATTACATTAATACTTACTGAATTTCCCTTTCAGCACCTAAGAGTGGTCTCCAGAACCGTTTACTCTTTCACCTGGCACATAAGGTATGATGTCTTTTCTTCACTCCTGCTTTGTTTGTTTTCTTTTCAGTTTGGTAATGTGTAATTTTTGCTGGCAGCCTGGCAGAATAATTAAAATGCCTGTGGTGGCAGAAGAACAAACATTTTTCATAACCACCCTACTGTATCAAAGTGTGGAGGAGAAAGCAAGTATGAAAACATGATCTCAGAATATATGCTCTCAACATGTTTCTAAGGAAAGTATTACCAATACACTTCACATAAGTCATACAATAGGAATGTAATGGTATTTTTAATGATGAAGAGCATGAAACCTTAATGGACTCAGAAATGTAGAAGCCACTATTTTACTTTTTTTTCCTAAATGTACCAAGTTTTACTAACTTGCACGTCTCTTATATGTAGCAATTTTACCAAAATGGTTTATATGCTATTACTGATCCTCTTAAGTAGTTCAGCATCCAGGAAATCATACTGTTAATAGCATGAAATTTAATTTAATTTCAACAACAATTAAGTGCTTATTTCACTTACCACACATAGCTATCTTCCCTTAAATTAGGCTTTGTATCATCCTGTACAGAATACTTGAGAAGTATTCTGCTACTAAAAGCATTGCCTTAAAAGGAAGTATAAATCCTGAATGTTTGCTTTGATGTCAGATTTCCTTTATTTAAATATATTAGTCTTAAGAGAGAAATCTTAAAGTATTTTTACAGTGGCATTGCCACTTACAGATATCTGTGATGAACTACGAATTATGCAACTTCTCTTTATCTAGTTAGTCACTGGCAATACAGGGTTTTAGCAAAATGATGAAGCCCATTGCCTTTAGTTCTGTTAAGCAGCCTTTTAACATCATGATTGGTTCAAAGAAGGAGAAGTATTTGAAGAAAACTAGCAGTTAGGTGGCAAAACAAATATATAATACTAGAATTTGTGTCTAAGAGAAATTCATTATTACTGTTGAATCAGCAAAATCAGCAAAAGGAAGACATGGAATAAGTGATTTGAACAGACTGATTAGGTAAATAGCCTCAACTTCACTGTTGTAATACAAATATAGTGGGTATGTTTAAATCTTTTCCTTGTTTTTAGCCTTTGTGTGTGTTTTATGTGCTATGCAGCAATGCTTTTAAAAATGAGTCCAATGGAAATTGGAGGCTGGTGAAAGTGAACTTGGTTAGTGCTGTAAAGGAGACATGTAAAAATTAGGACTTGTGTGTTTGCAAATCTTGTGTTTTTCTGCTATTCATGAGACATCAGATTTGGATCTACAAACAGCAAAATTTTTGCTGGCTTAAATAATTGCAGTGAAATTTTGTGTTGTGAAATTCTGTTTGTGAAATAATTAATTCAGCTCTTTCCCTCTTATCCATCAAAGCACATGACATGCAATTATATCTAAATCACACCTTAAAGGAAAATATGTGCTTAGTTTTAGCCTAACATTTATCCAGTTTGAACTCATCTGCCTCTTTAATGTTTGTATTTCTCCACTGGTCAAAATAGCTTTAAAAGTAACAGTGGTTTTCCAGATATTTAATGCTGTTTACCAGCAAGGACAAAACTAACCTGGTTAATTAAAAAGCTTTTCTTGTTGAACTCCTCTGAGAATGTGTCCCACTCTTTGTAGTTCAGTGATGAAAAGAAACTGATGAGTTCTCACCAAAACCTGCAAGATGTTACAGAAGATCAGCTTAGCCTGGCATCTATCCACTACATGCGGTCCCATTACCAAGAAGCTATTGATATCTACAAGCGCATTCTGCTGGATAATCGGTGTGCATCTCTAAACCCTATTGGAGCAACAATGTTATTGGTGGTGTTTAAATTCCAAATAGTTACTTGGTTTCTTAAAGCAGTCATTTTCCACAACTACTATGTCCCTTTGCTGTCACAGAATGTGCACCAGTTGCAGGTCCTCAATTTTGTTCATTCAAAGCATTATTAAAACCCCCACGTTTAAAAATAAGTCTGCTCTCTTTTTCTTTCTGTGAAATTGTTGGTTAATTTGTTCTGATATCTTTTTTATTTTGTTACTTATTTCTTCTGAAATTATATATAGTATGTACTGTTTTGTCTTTTATTTTTTCCCCTCTGATGGCCAGTCTTGTAACTTTGCTTGAATTATTTACTTTTCCTTCACTTCTTAGCCTTTCTAAGGTTTCAATTCTTGGGTTTTATGTAGAGTTCCTTTCCTTTTCAGTTTATCCTCTATGGCACTTGTTGATGGGGTTTTCTGTCATGTTCTGCAAATTTTTAGTTCAGAATTTAACAATCAACAAATGGAATTCTTAAGTGGCTGGAAGCATTTTTAATAAAATAGAAACTACCATCCCAGAATACTGCTGTCTTTTGGCACTATCTCCTCTTGAATGTTTCAGACAAATCCATCATAATGCATATATCATGTAATGCTTGGGAAAGAGATTTTAACCTCCAAGTCCTGCAGAAACAATCACTCAAAGTATGAGTGACCTTCATAACAATTATCCTTTTACTTACAGTTTTCACAAATGCTTGTCTTTTCTCTGTCTAGTTCCTCAGGCTTGACTGCTTGTAATGACAAGGATTTTTTTTATGCGCATAATAAATGTCTTTGAGCATACTGATTAGAAAATCATATTTTGCCCGGACAATTACACTGCTCATGTTCTGCATGTTTCCTTGGTGTGAAGTTGCCACTATTTCCCAGATTTGAAAACCAAAAGTTTTGTTGGTAATTCTTAAAAGCTGCGGTAGCTACTGTGGAAAAAAATACTGTGCATTTATACTAGCTGACCAACTAGAGAAGCCCTAAGCATTTCTCAGAAACCCCAGTTTTGATGTGTTTGTAAAATACATATAAATGTGAGAGCTTTCTTTTTATATATAAAATTTTAATATGCTGTAGTGGGAAATGTTAAACTATCTGGTGGGATTTAAGGGTTCACTTTAATCCTCTTTCCTACAGGGAATACCTGGCTCTGAATGTATATGTGGCCCTGTGCTATTACAAACTGGATTACTATGATGTGTCACAGGAAGTGCTAGCTGTTTATCTTCAGCAAGTTCCTGACAGCACCATTGCTCTTAACCTTAAGGCTTGTAACCATTTCCGACTTTACAATGGAAAGGCTGCAGAGGTATCTATTGGACAGTCCTTCAATTCACCATTATTTTAGTTTAAGATTCCATACATATTTATTTTCCTTTGTCTTAATCAGTAATGATGATAATGGTCTTTACCTTGTCACTGTGTCCTTTTAGGAATGTCACCTATTTCAGTTTCCCTGGTATTAACCAATCTCTCCACATATGTGCAAAGTGTTCTTACTATCTTCCCAGTATCCTTTTAATCTTGTGTTTATATGTATTACCCAGTTGCTAAAATAATTAGATAGAAGTGGAAAGGCAAAATCTTCTAGTCATCCAACACCAATGGAGATGTCTTGCTGTCAACTTCGAAGCTCATTTGAATCTCCACTTAGGCTACTGTTCTTTTATGGTTTTATGTTAAAATTTTGGAATGTATGTAATTCCAGGCAGAGCTCAAGAACTTGACAGATAGTGCCTCATCATCTTTTGAGTTTGGCAAGGAGCTCATTAAGCACAATCTGGTAAGTAGTTTCTGGGACTTAATATGAACTGCACTCTCTTGTAGAGCTTTTCATGATGATTCATAAAATGGAGCATTTTGAAAAACTGCAGACTTAATTGAGTCTCTGCTGCCATATAAGTCCTGTTCCAGGAATCCTACCAGTATAATGAATATGCCATCAAGTATTTACTTTTTTCCTGGAACTTTTCCCTGACATTTTGAGACTGTGTCAAGAAAATAATAGTACTGTTGCTTTTAGTTATGAAGGCATATTAAAATAATGTGTGTTGTGTGTCCCTTTGCAAGATACTTTGTGGAGCCCATTCAATAAAGACACTGTAGAAACAAGTCACGATGACCCTGAATTCTATTTAGTACCAGAACAATTTGACTGGAATAAATATAGCTCATGAAAATGGCTTTCATCTGAAAAGTACTAAGGAAGGAGTTCTAGGAAAAAAGATGCTTTTGTGTTCTGCAGTAAAAGAGTCACTAAGAGCAACTAATGGTTAATTTTCCCTTCAGTGGTATTATTTGGCTGAACAACTGGTAACAGTAGATTGCTCATGTTTAATGACGGGCAGTTACTTGCTTTGTCATTTTTCAAGGGCAGTCATCACAAACTAACACTTCTTTCCCCAAGAGTTAAAACTGCTTTCAAATTGGATTTTTGTAAATTAGCATTGTTTATTTTGTATGTTGGTATTTCTGCCAGTGCTTTATTGAATAAGGACATTAGATCTTGTTGGAGGAATTGTCATGTGAAACTGGAGTATAATTGCCTGCTCCTGATCATTTTAGGATCCTGTGTCATTCTAAATGAATGTCGAGTTGTTAGCCTAATTTTTTTCATATAAAAACATCATAAGCAGTATATAGTTTTGTATGTGTTCCCTTCACTCAGACTTTGTTACTCTTCTAAATCTTTGCTATATAATGTATCACTCTTTTGAGATGCTAAGAGCTGAAATAAATTAATGTTTATGTATGGATTAAATACTTATATTCTTCAGAGTAACAAGTGTCACACTGTATAATTCTATAGCTATATTAAAGCAGGAATTAAGCTAATGCCAGAGCCACTGACCTTTTCCTACTGTTTATGTAGGAATTTAAGGATTAATTTCCTTGAATTAACTTATCATAGAAAAGATTCTGATACATGATTATCAATATGCTACTTTTCTCTGCAGGTGGTTTTCCGAGGAGGAGAAGGGGCTTTGCAAGTCCTACCTCCTCTGGTTGATGTTATTCCTGAGGCAAGACTGAATCTTGTGATTTACCATCTCCAGCAAGGTAAATACACCTTCCTCTGGCTCTTTCATAGCTTCAGGGATGACATTAATTCATCTTATCTCAACTTATTCAATGCTTTTTTTCCTTTGCAGTAAAATGTAATTTATTTCACTTTCTGTTCCTCTGTAAAATAGTGAAGTAAAAGTTCCGATGGCTTGCAGAGAAGGGCTTTAATACTGTGCACTCGAAAAAAGCCTACTTCAGCAAAGTATAGGAGGTTCTTGGGTTGCAGGAGATGGCTTTGAGGATGGTAGTGTTTATTTGTTTCTAGTGAGGGGACCTCTCCTCTACCTGAGTATGTGAGAATGGTAGGCATATGTCCTGTAAAGGCAAGGACAACCATTTCTGTAAATGCAGCACAAACAAAATATGAACCAAAGTGACTGTGAACAAGATATTTCATTAAAATCTACTTTACAATTCCTAAAGAATGCAGATAGGTAGCCAGAATCAGTTGGTAAGGATTTTCTACTTGTATCTCTTCTGTGTTTGCCAGCTTCTTTGAACTGTATCTGAGTTTTTCAGAGCTATTTCTATTCTCCCATCGTGTTCTTTTATTCAACAGTGGGTTGATTGGCTGTATTATTCAAGGCAGGTCCAATTAGATCAGTTTGCTTAAAGCCATGTCCAGACAAGCATCCAGTCAGAACTTCCTCTGATCTACTTTGAGTCCACTGCTTTCTCTCACTCTGTGGAACCTGTTTCCATATACTCTGTACCCTCCTATCAGTTAATTGTAGACAGTGATAAGATCTCCCCTGACATCCTTTCTCTGAAAGCTAAGCAAACTCAGTTCTCTCCGTTTCTGCTCAGCCATCTTCCTGCCTTGGGAGCCCTCAGTTGAGCTCACTCCAGTGTTTATGGTAGGATTCCAAATCTGAACACAGTAATCATGTGCAACCTCACAACTGCCAAATATAGAATCCCTTCCCTTACCACGATGGCTCCATTTATGCTAATATGATCCAGTGTGCAGTTGGCCTCCTTTGTTGCAAGGCTGCACTGTCTGCCAGATTGCCTTTTAGCCAGTCAACTCCCCACCTGACTTGCTCAGGCATGTTTCAAACCAAGCAAGATGCAAGACTTGCATTTTGCCTCCACTGAACTTCATCAGATTTCTTTTAGCCCATTTTTTCAGCCTACTGATCTACTTCTCAATATCTGGGAGCGTTCTTTACAATCTATTATCATTTGCAGACTTGCTCAGAGTACTCTATGCTATCATCTCATGGATCATTAATAAGAACAAGTTATTCTACAGTTTTAGTCCCTGGGGCATTCGATTAGTAATGAGCCACCTATTGGATTTTGTACGACTGATCACTGTCCTTTGGTAGTGGTAGTTCAGCCAGTTTTCCATGCCCTTACAGCCTTACTTATCCAGTCCTATCTTTCAAGTTTGTATGAGAGACCATGTCAAAGGCATTGCTAAAGTCAGGGTGTACAGCATCAACCATTATCCTCTTATTCACACAACCAGTCATACCTTGAATTAATGAGTATATTTTGGCATTGGTAAATCCATGTCTGCTGTCCCCAGCCACCTTTCTTCTGTCCAGTATTATTTTTGCCAGTGTCACTATAGGCAGTATTGGTACCACTTCCAATTATCTTTCACAATAATATTGTTGATAATAACATACATTTCAAATTAAGTTCTACTTACATGGAAACAAAGTGCATCCCATGCATCAGTTAAAAATCAGTCTTGTTTACTCATATGCTGTTAACCTTGCAGTAATTTTCATTAGTTAGGTTCTGCTCTTCACTGTGATAGACAAATGACTTACATACTGACAAAGAAGGTCCAGGAGAATTCAGACTTAAACCTCTTTTCTGGTTTGACTTAGTTTCCATTTTTAAGTCTTGCTAGGGTAGCAGCATTAGCTAGGAAAGTGAAAAATTCTTACTTATTGTGACTACAGCTGATGCTTCAAAACTTGAAAGGTCTCTGATAAACGTTGGCTTGTGATAATATATCCTCTGAACTGGAATGACTGAAGCACAAACATGCACTCCCTTGTTTCAGCTCTTCAGGGTAGTGATTTCTAACAGGGTTTGAGGTCAGTTGGTATCCTGCTGAAATCTGCTCCCATGAGATTTGCTTCTGTTGGAGCCTCAAGAGAATAGTTCTGTGTTGATGGTCTACACTCTGTTGATAAAAATAAGGGTTACTGTCATTTTTTTTTTGGTGGTGGTGCTGGTGGTGGTGGTCTGAGCTAGCCAAAAATATCAGAAAGAAAAGAAGAAAAAAGAAAAACAAAGGTAATGACTTTTAGCTAGTACATTGTGCTGTCTTACTATGCGACTTTTCTAGGGAACAGTAAGAAAGCAGAGGTGATGGGTGGGAGCCTGGCAGCTCCAGTGTATATTGCCTTAAGTGCCTACATGGATTGTATGTTATAGTGAAAAAAATTTTTATTTGATAAGGCTTATTTGTGTGGGCAATTAGTATAATCTGTACTAACAAAATTTTGCCAGTAACAGAGGATGTTCACTACGTTGGTTTACAAAGCCAACCATAGTGCCAACATCTTTTTTAATTTAGGTGAAGTTTAGGATCTATTCAGTTTATATAATTATTGTGTGGAAAGGAAGTTGTTTATAGATTTCAAACACCACATTTAAATTTCTATACTAGCAGTGCTTTTTCCTTGTTAATTAGGGTCTGCTGGGCAGATGCTGAAATATTGCTAAGGAAAAGATGAAGTTTCCCTACAGCATCATGTTACCGTATTCTCTTTGAGGGCTAAATAAATATGAGAAAACAAAATACATGAAGATGATGGATTTAATATTTTGACCTTGTGCTGTTAAGAAGGAAGCCACTGGATTATGAACAAAGGGGCCAAACAATCTCTGCTAGGAAAACTATAGTAAATAAGAAGCTATTACTCACTCTGAGTTTGTTATTTGAGTTCTAGAAAACTATCACCATTATACAGAAATTCACAGTGATTTATAGCTACCTTTCTCCTCCTGTCTAAATGGCTTATTTCTTAGTCTATGACTATTGGGGAATATTGTATAGGATGAGTGACTTGTTCTAATACAGCGTACTATGGATTGTCATGCATTCTGATGTCTGGCATTTCAGATGATGTGCAGGAGGCTTATAACCTGATTAAGGACCTGGAACCTACAGCTCCACAGGTAATTGGAAAATGATGACATGGCACATAAAGACAGAGGTTACAAACTGGTAGGAAACCTGCCACATACAAAACTGGTATCCTGAAGACAGCTTGCCCCATTCCCACTCTTAAAACTCATGTATTTTCATCCCTTCCTCAACAATTAATTTAATGTGTGTGCATAAATTCATATGCATATGGGCATATATGAATACGTAAGCTATTTATTACTGTACCACCTGGGTTCAGCTAAGAATACAGCTCTGTTGTGTGCAGCCTTGCTTTTGGGAAATGGACCATTACTGTATAGGTAAAAGCCCCCTTACAGTTATAGCCGGTTGTCTGCCTCGTGGTGATTTCCTAGCTCAGATGCTCATATAGTTTGTCCTGAAGCCATTTCAATTAAAATGAGCTAAATTAAACAGTTTTAATAAATAGTATTTTCTAATCCCATCACACTTTGGCTGCCATGAGTGAAAACTGCAGTGTCCCTTGGCTGCTACTGTAATTTTCTTCTGTGGCAGTTCCAGCATCTTTAGTGTCTGATTTATTCCTCTTTGCTGTTTATTTTCCAAAGGTCACATAGCTGGGCATAAAAGAGACCTTTCATGAGTCTCTGTAAGATGGAGAGAGGGAGGGAAGGAGGGAGGGAGGGAGGGAAAAGGAAAACCTCAAAAACACAGATCCGGTGGTTCTGTGCTGAGGAGTGAGGAGTGTCTTCTGATGTTGGTTTACACTTCTTGCATTTTTCAGTATAGCAAAACTTAACTTGAAAAGTTTTCTGCAGCTATTGGTCCTTTTGTGGCCTTTGTTGTCTCAATACACTTGGCTAATAATTCTTGATCACATTTTGGAATTAGAATCTTTGTGCTTTCTTTTTTTCCATTTCTGACTCCCACTTGTAAGGAACTCCCTGCTAAGACTTGCAAAACTACTTCTGAAACCTTCTTAAGTACTTCTCAGATTTCTTCTTTGTCTCAATGCCTGTAGGATAATAATTAGGCATCTGTAACACAGTTTATGTGCTGAAATGATTACTTACTATCCTGGCTAGTGCTCTGAGATTCCTTCTGTACATTCTGTTGTTGGTCTCTTGAAAGATCTCTCTTCTTCTGTGTTTTCCTTTGTGACAGAGCTGTCCTGGTTTATCAGGAGTACCTACTAAAATAGATTTATAGATATAACTGTTAATTATAAGATTTGGGTAAGACAAAAGAGTCTGTTACATGCTGAGAAAAATTTGTTCAGAGAAGAATTAAACTGTAGTTTCTCATACTAGAGATTACAGGCTACTCAACTTCTGTTCCTAATTTCACTAGAGTAACATGGCCACAGAGCACAAACCTCTTGACATATTTGTCCTGATGAGAAACACTATGAATTTTGCAGCAACGATGTCAGTGGTTATGGTTAACCAATGTGCGTATTTGAAAGGGGATCTGTGCTTTAATATAACAGTAGTGCACTTCTTGGTGATATGATGTTGAAGAGGGCATGAAAGTATGATACCATATTCCTCTTGGTGCATTGTCTTTGACCATAAAACTTAGCAGAAAACACTATACCCCTCTGCATCTAACATATTTAGTAGAAGTGACTACCTAGCAAGTAAAATGTATTTTGGGGGAATAAATTAATACTGCATTTAAGCACCACCACAGTAACCAGCTACCTACTAAAGTCAGTTGTGATAGAGTTGAATTAATAAAGAAAATAATGTACACATAGGATTTTATGTGTCTTCTGAAATCTTCACCATGTCTTCTCTGATCCCTTTTAACTTTTTTTCTTTTTTCCAGGAGTACATCCTCAAAGGGGTGGTAAATGCAGCACTTGGACAAGAAATGGGCTCGGTGAGTAATGCCCGTGAGGTTCTCCGGCTTCTCCAACAATACAATGTGAGCAGATCTGTAGAAACTGGAATGGAGTGAAAGGGGCAGTCATTTCTTATTTAGATTGCAGGATTTCTGAGTCTCTTAACCTCCTTCTGTACAATAATCATTCCAGAATGAGTGAAATGCAAATTTCTGTTGGTGGTCTTGTTGTAAATCAAGATGAATTCGATTTCTCTATCCTGCTTCCAAAATCTCCATTTGCTTTGTACAGTGTTCTTCTTTATCTAGGCACATAGAGTGGCACATTTACCTTTTCTGGTTTTGCTTCAGCTCTGGTTTATCTGTTAGTTCCTCCCCAGGTGTTCCTCAGAGCATTATTTTCACTGTGTATTATAGCATCACCCCTGTAACTCATCTTGGATTTATTTTTTATTCGTCTTCCAGAGAGATCATCTGAAAATTGCTCAACAGTTCTTCCAGTTGGTGGGGGAATCAGCCAGTGAATGTGGTATGTTTGAAATGTTCTTTTTACATTAAGTAAGCCATCTTAAAATATCCAAGTGTATACCATCATATCTGTGTCTGACTGCTGACTGTTAGCAAGAATATTGCTAGGCATTTTGTTTCTATAGGATGAGTTTCAGAAAGTCTAAATTGTAGTCTAAAGCAAATTTTCAAGTTTAAATTAGAAGTCTTGATACCAAACCTTACTATATGATTTCATCTGGAAAAGAGGTTCTACTACCTCTTTTGTGCAGTCTTCATGAGAGACACTGTGGCAGCTTGCCTTTGCTTAATAATCCCCATTAGAGAAACAGAAGACAACAGCCTAATTAATTAGATGAAGTGAGTGGCTGAAACCTCACAGGCAGAGATACACAAGTACAAATCTAGGACCACTAATCAAAGCCTGTCAAGTACATAGAGTCATAGCATGGAGCATGCCCTGAAACTGAGGACTTTGGCTACAGGGAGAAATGGAAGCTCTGGGACTAATTTCTTGCTTGACTAAGAGAGGAAAAAAAAGGCATTACAACCCACCCACCACCTTGCCCCAAAATCAGTTTATTTTCAATATTTAGTTTTACCTACTCAATAATAGACCAAACCAAGTTCTTCTCTTCCCTTCTCTTTGCCAAAACCAAAAATCCCAAATAAAAAAAGTCAGTAGTTGTAACATGGGAATTCAGATTAAATGGGGCTTGGCGGTTTCCTTTGTAGGCGTTGTCACTTAGTATTGTTTCTTTATGGGGGGTAGCTTGTGCATGTTTATGGACAGACAGCTCATGGTCTTCAGACACAGAATGCTATCTCTTGTGTCCATGGTGACTAAAGAGAAGGAGCTCCAGAGACAGAGTGGTATCACTCATGAAAGTTTCAGAAATACAGTTGAGCCATTCTATTCTGTTCTCCTTGCAGCCCTGATACTATTGGTACTATCAGAGAATTTCACATTGGAAGGATGGAAGTGGTTCCATAGATGAGATTTCCCTAACTCATTGCTTTCACATTGAAGCAATCCCTTTAGAGTTGGGATTCCAGAAAACAGGAAGAAAGAATATGAACTATAGCACTGGAGAACTCGGTTAGTGGGAACATCTTAATGCCTATAGCAGTCATGCAGATGTGACAAGTGACCAGGGCACACATGGATAAAAATAATACAGGGATAGTCAGGGAAAAGATATTCAGGGAGAAGATTTCTTGTGAAGATATAGCCCAAAATTAAAATTGTTAGGAAGCAAAACTTACTGTGAAATATTTTTAAACTCATATGCAAAATAAAGATACATAGGCTGAGACTTCAACCTTTCAATGGCTGGGGCAGGGGGAATGGCAACAGAAATGTAATACAATTAGGAAAGTGGATTACCTGAAAAAAATGAGCCTATGGGAAGAATTGGTTCCAATCAGAGGTAAAAGGAAACATCAGTACTGCAAGCATCTTACCCTCTGGTATTTCCATGTAAGAACTGCTTTGTCATCTTCTTCAAAGTTTGTGGGAGGAAACTGCCACAGAGGAGAGCACGCAGTTCAGGGTAATTCCTTTAAAGGTAAAATAGTGTGAGGGGTTTTGTTTAACCTCACATGAAGAACAGATGGAGGTCAACAAACTGTAGATAGGAAATAGAAGAGGCAAACAGTTATATTTAGGTAGAATATAACAAAAAAACAAACAAATGAAGCCCAAGTATGTGTTTTATACAAATATTAGATATTTTTTTAAATGTTGGATGAAGTGGAATGCCTGATTTTGGAAGAGAAGCTAAAAACGATAATTATTTTTTTATGTGATAGGAGGAAGGTAACATGTAGGATATTGTTTCTATTTAATGTGCAATAGGGATTGTACAATAAATAAACATAGATTGTATATAAGTAAAGATACATAAATATAGATAAATAGATGATGCCAGTGGAAAAATGGTTCTAAATATTTTGAAAACTCTCAAAATAAATATATTTTCTTTATCAATTAGTAAAATTATATTGTTTTCAATTATATGTTTAGATAGGCAACTCATCCTATTGAAGCCAAATTATTCACCAGCCAGCCTAGATAGGAACTGTGAGTGGCATATTAAACAGGTTACAGATTTTATATAGAAAGATAGATACTAGTTGGAGACTTCTGTTCTGCCCATATTGACCTAATAAATGCAATTACATGGCATAATAAACAGCATGAACTTTTTGTTTCTATCTTTCTTAGAGAAAACACAAGTGAACAGGTAACTCTGGACCAATATTGAATTGAATAGCACCCAAGTTAAAATTTTATTATGAAATTACAATTCTACTACAGTCATCTGAGCATAATCAAATTCAAAATCCACATGTTAGCAAATACCTCAAAAAATGTCTACAGTACTAATCCTAAGAAGAGAAGCTACATAATAACCCTTCTAATTTCTAGGAGAAAATTTACAGAGAAATAGCAGTGAAAAGGATAAAATGCACCTGATTTGAACACTTGAAAGAACCTTTTGTTTCTCTAAAGAAAGGGCTTGTATTCATAATTAATGAGCTATAGGAGACAAATAATGACATGACTAGGTTTGCCAATGGCACAAAATTACCCATAGTAGTACAAATAAAAGCTTCCATAATGATGAAAGATGTGAAAGACTATATAAGACTGGGTAATAATATGCAAATTAAATTTAGCAAAATTATTGGAAAAGTTGAAGAGGATCTTAAGAATTGATGAGGAAAGAGAAAAAAATAATTACTGTGTCATTGTATACAGATGTGATTCTTTTTCTGGAATACTGTCTACAGTTCTGGTTCTTACATTTCTTAAAAAAATATCAAGAAAGGATACAATAAATACAGCAAGGATCATCAAAGAAAGGGGATAGATTCTTGAAGTAGGAGAAAAGGAGAGATTAAATAAAGCAGAATACATGGGCTGAAAAATGATGACTGAGTTTGATGATGTCCATCATAAACAACAAGAAAAGGAGGAATAGAAAAGGATTATTTACTGTACAATACAAAAATCAAAGAGCATTGACAAATTATCACTCATGACAATTAAACAGCATTAATTACTTTTTTACATAACACAACTTATTTGATAGGAAAACTTGTGAGAACCAGAATGTATAAAAAATGTTGCAGATGAAATGTCCGTTGGCTGTTTAACCCAAATTTTTCAGCAGTGATTAAGAAGTCCTTAGTGCACATTGTTGAGAGCTGGGATAAACTTCAGCAGAAGTGCCATTGCATACCACAGTATGTATTATATGTGAAATCAGAATATTTTCTTTCTATAGCTGTATATTCTTACCCAGCAAACTCTGAACTAGACAAACATTGGATTCAATATAATAGTTTTTATGTTCTTAGGTAACCTAGCATATTAGCCACTCTGTTGATTACTTGTGGTCATTTGTTTTCCTGTATTTGGAATGGAGAACAGAGTTCTTGCTGTTTGTATACTTGGGCTTTTCCCAAGTAGCTGGCCATGCTGTTCAAGCATGTACGTCATGCTTCAGCACTTCCCATCCAACTAGTCCTTCCAAGGATCTTCAAGGTCTTTATCAAGTTGCTTAGCTGCTTTGCAGATTTATAATACAGGAATAAGTTGTTGTTTGTTAGAGTGAGGAAATCCTTTGCTGTGTCTTTGCTTGCAGCTGGGCCTGTCACAGTTTTGCTTGGGATAGAGTTAAATTTCTTCTTAGAGAATGGTACAGTGATGCATTTTGAATGTAGTGTAAGAATAATGTTGATAACACAGTGATGTTTTAGTTGTTGCAAAGTCAAGGACTTTACAGTTTCCCATGCTCTGCCAGTGAGGAGCTGCACAAGAAGCTGGGAGGGAACCTGGCCAGGACAGCTGATCTGAATGAGCTGAAGGGTGATTTCATGCCATGGAACACCATGCCCAGTACATGAACTGGGGGGAGTTGGCTGGGAGGGGCTTACTGTGGTTTGGGGGGGGGGGGGATGGGGACTGGGCATGGATCAGTTGGTGAGCAATTGTATCATTTGATCATTTCTTTCTCCTGAGTTTTATTCCTCTCTCTCTTTCTCCCCTTTTCACTACTATTATCACTATTATTATTACTAATAATATTTAATTTCAATTATCAAACCATTCTTATCTCAGCCCACAAGTTTTAATTTCTTTTTTTTTTAGTGGGGAGGAGGGTAGAGTGAACAAGCAGCTGAGAGGTACTTAGTTGCCAGCTGGGGTTAAACTGCAAAAATGAACAAGGCTTCTTATTTCAATGTGGGTTATCAAAAAATAATGGGTTAGAATGAAGATGTGGAATATTTTTTCTGACTTGCTTTTGTTAACTGTAGAAATCCTATTGACTGCATTAAGAAGAGCAGCAACAGGAGTTTAGGAAGAACACAGTGTTATTTATTTGTAGTCATTTGTAGTCATCAATTAAGCCCTTTAGTTTTTTTAATTAGATCTCTACCTTGAAGGTTCAAGGAACATGGAGTAAATGTGCAAGTCATTTCCATTAAATGTACACATTTTATCTCATGTTGGATGTTGTGCACTTTAACAGGGGACAGACAAAACAAAAACTAAAAAACATCCAAGAAGCACTTAAGAGTGTAGGAGTCAAGATTCATTCTCTAGCAGCAATAAATAACACCTGAAGAGCAGCTTGGAGTTTTTTTAAGCTTGATAAAAATTCTTAATCCTAATGATATGGAATGGAACAGACATTACAAAGGAGGATATAAGTAGATTTTTATAGTTAGTTCTCATTCTCTTCTCCTGGGGTCTCAACTGGGTGGGAAATTAAACAGATTTCTTTTAAGGAGAAAATGGAGCACCAAGGAACATCAGTGAAAACAAATTAACATTCCAATTAAATGCAGGGTTTCTGGTGCTTAGCATAAGTCTTACAAACTACCCAAAACCACTGCAAGCATAATGAAAAAGAACACCCTATTTGTTTTCAGTGGTCCTCTTTTAGGACCAACTCAGGCATATTTGATGTTGGGTGAGAGGAATTAAACATTTCTGAACTTCATGCAGTCTTTAAGGTTCTCTTAGGTCAACGTAAGTAGTTTTTTCAAATGACAAATTTTTCCACTTTCTGCATAAGCCACATGGAGTGCAATAGAAAATTCTAGGTTTTCTGTCACTAGGTAGTATTCATTGCTGAGTTCTATGAGATACACAGATGTTTCACTTGTTTGGTTTTTTTAAAGGAACCTTTCAGTAAAATATATGGGGGATGGTGTGCTGGGATAATAAAGCTTTCTGCCAAAATTTGGACAACTAACATTTAGAAACACTCCAATAATTTATGGGAATATTGTGTTTCTAATATTTTGTTACTGTGATTCATTTTTTACTAAAAATGCATCCTCAGTTTTAAGTCTTCTTTGCATGTCTTGCATTTTTTAAATTTTGTTGAAAATAAATTGTGATTTTATGAACTTCAGAAATCAAATTTCAGAGGAAAGGGGCATTTTTGAGTTATCTGTAGTCTCATTAATCAGTGTTTTTTGGCTCTTTTTTATAAAACTCTCTGTTATTGTCCAGTAAAGGCATATATTTGTCATGAAAACTACGCCTGCATGTAAAAAAGGATAGATAAATATACAGACCAGTTTCTGCTTCCAAGCGAACACTTCATGAAAACCAAATAATCTTCTGAAGCTGAAGAACTGAATGGTGTGGTTCAGACATAGATAAGGATTGATTGTCTCTGTATGGAAATGACAGGACATCCAAGATCAGTATCTCCTAGTGCTAAAAGATAAGAAATAAGAGTATTTTGCTTTCCTTTGAAACGTATTTTGACATCTTATGTAGTGCTTTCCAGGAATAATTACTACCTACCATATTTAAAGGAGAATATACAATTTTCCAGTTGAACGCTCAATTTTGTGTGGTAGTATGGAGTCAAAATATTGGTCTTTTGTTACATGAAATTTCTCAACACAGAAAAGATATTTTAATTTTTTGGTGTGGATGGATTGATGGTAACCAATAGCTAGGAGCAGATTACCTCAGGGATATTGGTAGCTTTAGGATCTTTTCTCTTGTTACCTTTCCAAACTGCACAGAGCACCATCCTCTCTTACGATTACTTAGTATAGTGGGATAGTAGTGGTTTGGTATCACTTCCATTTAGGCCTTCTCAGCTGCTACCTCAGTTCATCCATGTCTGCTAGCTGGCTCTAACAAAAATTACTCCTAGTAAGCTTACTTCAGAATCTTTAAAAAAGCTTTGAGATAGTTTTCAGTAACACAGCTTGCAATGTCAGAGTAGGTGACAGCATCATATGGTTGCAACAAAGTTTATGATGACATGTATAGCAGCAAAGTTTAGTGACACTCATTCGAACTGATATGTCTAAGTTATTTATGGTTTCACCTCTTGTGAGCAATGTGGTAATTCCAAATGCATGGACATCAATTTCCATACTGTCTGATACCACTGAGTATTTTACCTCTTCCTGTATTAATTCTTTTGTATAACAATATTTTCAGTATATCAAGTTTACTCTCTTACGCAAACTAAAATTAAAATATGTAGAGTTGCTTTGTCCAGGATAATCAGGATAAAAGGATAATTTTGAAGAAAGAAGGCTAATGCTGTAAGAATAGCAAACTCAGGCTTTGTATAAAGTGTCATTTCCTAAGAGTAAGAATAATTCATGGTAAAATTATCCTATGAAAATTGTGTCACGGAAAAGACTTTTTTGGTAAAATTGTTATGTGTCTCTGTAGTGTTTGCTGTTGAGCGAAGTCTTGCAAAAATTACTGAATGCTGTAGAGAGAGCTGACAAGATGAACTAATTTTTTTTTCCTAACCTCTAGTATGGTCCTTTGCCTGAAAAGGCAAGCTACACTATTTTTAGAAACTAGCTGCTTTCATAGGTGCCAGTAGTCTTGGCAGTGATTTCTATAATCATGTGTTTTTAAATTCTACAAATTTTGCATTTCTCTTTTGAATTTTAGATACCATTCCAGGGAGACAGTGCATGTCCTCCTGCTTCTTTCTTCTTAGACAATTTCCTAATGTCCTAATTTACCTCAACTCAATCAAGGTTAGTATTATTATTTAGTATTGATAGTTCTGTAATGTATGGAATCACTACTTTTAGACTGTACTATGTGAGACACAATGGAAACATAAAAAGATACAAAAACAAAGCAGTAAAAATAAAATACAGGAGTGGTAGTGGAACATAAGTGGTCAGTACAGTAAATGGATTAAAATGTAAAGAAGCAATTTAGAAAGTAGTACCATGCAGCATGGTGGGCATGATGGACTCATCACGCTTTTAATATAACCATTATCAGTCTTTCTGGTGGCATCACAGAAGATAAGAAACATAATTAAAGGAAGACAATTTTTTAAAAAGTGTATATTTATGGGGTGGGCAGCATGGAGGGAAAAAACCCCAATGTTTTCTTAAGACTTATAAAGTGAGTGATGGAGATTGTTGTCACTGGTTAATAATGGTAATAACTGCTTAATAACTGCTTAATGAGGACAACAGTTTAGTAAACAAGAGTGCGTAAGGAAGATAGGACATGAAGGACTCTAAAAGGAATAACATTTACAGAGAAAGCAGTCACTGAAGGACTAAAATAGGGCAGAATTACCAAAGCAGTAAATTAGGAATGTTATTTTTGCAGAAGTTATCTGAGTATCCTGCAGACAATGTTTCATTTTTCAAAATAAGAGAAGCTTGAAGTCAACATCATGCAGCATTATCAGATCAGTGGATAGAATGGGTATAACTTACAGATACACAGTTAAAGTCAGATGTGAGGAAAGAGGGAGGCTGGAGTGTGATTATGGATTAAATTACTGCAGTCTGGTTTCACTGGTTTGAAAGTAGAGTTGAAATAACTCTGCTTGGTAGGAAGAGGAATGAGAATCTTAAATTATTAAAAGAATTGGGAGATACACAAGATGAGTATAACTGCAATGTTGTAAGGAGTATGAGATCTAAAGAAAAACCTGTGGTTGTAATGGTGCCCAAAAGTAGCTGTTGAGTGAAAAATGGTGAAGGTGTAATGTTTTAAAACTTTGGAAGGAGACCTTTGAAGAAATCCCAGTGGCTTTAGCCACTGGAATGGCTCCAGTGTAGTGGAATGAAGAGATACACCACCACCACTCCAAACTGGAGTATGTGTGTAATTGAAGAAAGGGGAATTAACAGTAAGAATTGCTTTGCCTTACTTGAGCCATCTAAAAGTTGGATTTCTAGTTAAAACTGGTCATCTGGTCTCATTTATTGCCAATGGGTATAGATGGTAATTTTCAGAGAATTCATTCTGTATATTTCTAACATTTATAGTGCAATTAAATACTCCACAGATATGCTTAGCTCTTTCCATTTCCTTGAAAAGGTTCTTAAACCACTAGGTTTAACCCAAAAAGGTCAAAGTTAACTGTCATTACAAACCACCTCCAAGGTACATGGAACAAAAATTTACTGCCTACTACAACTTTTCTTGCTTGCTCCTTTTGAAGTAATTGATCATTCTCATAATTTTTCAGCTGAGACTAGCCATGCTCAGATTTACTTAAGTCATTTCCCTTTACTATAGGTCATAGGGATGCAAAAATTATTCTTTCTGTACCATGTTACAGGCAAGATGTACATGGATTTACCTTTGGTTTTTTATTCACAGGAATAAACTTCAGTAGAATCTCTGCAGCTCTTAAATTGGGGCTGCCCTCTATGAAGATTATTTGCTTGGTATTCTCTCGGGAAGCACCACTTTCATCCATGATCAATTAAAACTGCTTTAGGCATAAGAAAGTCTCAGAGGACACTTTACTATAAATGTATTGCCAGATGCCCCGAGGGTGACATTATAACACTGTCAGGGATTAACGGAGTAAAAAACAACCTGATTCAGGCTCCACTGAGTTGTGGCCACAATGGGAATTCCTCATTTTTAAGCTGGATATCTGAGCATCTCATTGAAATGGACATCACACAGAGGACAGTTGGTTTTATGAAAACATTGAAGACCTCTGAAAAGACCACAAGAGAGTAAACATCCAGTACATATAATGTCATTTAAAAAAGAAAAAGAAAGAAAGAAAGAAACTAGCTGCTGTGAAGAGCTGCTGTGAATGTGTTCTTTCATCAGCAGCACTCATTCATTTCTCCTGGTTTTGGTTTTGAAGTAGGTCTGATCTCTAATATGTGCCAGGACAGGATGGCACATTTTTTGAGTTTGGTTGTTGACCAACCTCAAAATGGAGTTTCTTCTCCATTTTAATTAAAAGATACAATGGGGTCTACTTGAACAAAAGAAAGCATTCACACAGTAAAACTAGCATCTGGCTCACCAACTTTGCTTAACCTGGGACTTGGGCTGATTCACATGAAACTACTATTGAGAAAGAATGCAGTAAAGTATCCTAATCCCTATATGGTTAAACCCATTAGTTCACTGTAAGGGCACTGAAATGTTTTCACAAACTGAGCTTAAGGTTCAGCCCAATTGGTTTATCCTCATGCTGTCACACAGCTTTCTGTATTTGCTGGCTTGTGCATGCTACCATAGACTGTTTGGGTGAAACCTGGACATTTGGCAAATAGTGGCAATCCCTCACCTTTCCTTTCAAGGAACTAGCTTGATGTATGCAGCTGGACTAAATCAGTACCATTTGTAGGCTGCCTGTGACAGTGAGAGGAAGAGGTTCTTCAGTGTCCCTACATCATGAAAGAAGATAATACTGAGAAAAGGATTTGTGCCTTGCTTTGTTTAGCTTTTTACCTCCTCCTCACTCTAAAGAGGGAAAAAACCAAAAGTTTGATCTTCCTACACAAGTTCTGTTTCCTCTATAAATGTTGTATAAGGAAAAACATTTCTTCTTCCCTACACCTTGCTGTTATGCACACAGGGAGGCTTTCTTGCAGTAACTGTATTGGATAAACCATCTATTTTCTATTGCTCTCTCCTAAGCACTGCACTGCTGCTGGGCAGGGATCCTCAATCACATTCATGCTTGCATCTGGTATTGCTGCCAGCTCTACTGGTCCAGCAGTGTAGAATAGTGCTGAATGTAGAGCACAGCTGACTTTTGGTCATTTGAGTTATACTTCAGTCTGACTGGATCAGGTCAACCCCATATATAAGCCTAACCTGTACCTTGAGTTACATTTCCTTCTTTGACTCATGTGGCTTTTCAGTAAAGATACAGCTAGTTCAGTCTGATGCGTCCTAAACCAGATGTGTCATATCTAGGGTTATGGGAGAGAAAAACTCAGTGTTGCACTTCAGCTAGAGAGAAGGGCACTTGTAGGCAAGGCTTGCTTAAAGAAGTCCTATTACCTGGTGTGCTGCCTGCTATAGCCCAGTACTGTATCCACCTCCATCATGAGATCCATTTTGTCAAATTAGCATCCATCACATAACCAGATGCACAGGATCTCTTAACAAACCTTGACAAGTCTTGGAAAAACAAACTGTTCATTGCCTTTAAGACTCAAGGAAGTCAACTGCCTATTTACCCACCCTAGTAGTGAAATATGCTTGGGAAGTGAAAGAGACCATGGCAGCACAGCATGTCTTCACATGCTCCAAGTGAAAATTATACCCACAAAAGCTGCCACTGCAGTTTTGAGCTTGGAACATTTTCCAGATCTCTCAGAGTTAATATTGTGGAATGTTTCAGCAGTGTTTGTAGTCACAAATGTAGGATGGAAAAGCTAGTCCATAATTTTTCTGCCCACTGTTTATAAATACCGTATGTTCCTAATGTGGGATTTTCTTTTTCCTTCCCATTGTCTTCTTTATATGGTCTGTCTCAGGTTGGGGTGAGGGGGATGTATTTTTAATGTTGTTTTATCATGGGAGGAGGTTTTTCTGTTGTATTTATTTGGGGTTTGTCAATATTTTTCAGAGTTACTTCTACAATAATGATACTTTTAACTTCAACTATGCCCAAGCCAAAGCTGCAATGGGAAATTTTAGTGAAGCTGAAGAGGTATGTATTTATTTTCTTAGAAAAATAGCAATGGAAACATTTTCCCCATATATTCCCCTCTTTCCTTCCTTTACTTCAGCCAGATCTTCATGTTGGTTGAAAATAAGCAGCTTCTGTGGAACATCTTCTTCCCCTTCTTAGGGGAACTGAAACTCTCAGTGAGCGCTGTTCAGAAAAGATTGTCTTGCTAATCTTGTAATGTGAGGTATACAGAGAGTCATGCTGCTTGTGGTGCATCACAAGGGTGCTTGCAGCTACCTCTAATTGATCAAAGAATGGCCTCTTAATCAGATTTTCCACGCTTTGTCTGGGATCCCAGGCACTCTTTTTGTTCAGACTGAGTAGGGCATGCTAAGTTAAAGACACTGAATAGTTAAGAGCTTCTAGGTGTCCCTAGAAATTTGTGTTTTTTAAAAAAATATCATCCTCTGGGATATGTGGGAGGAAAAGAGGAAGTGCTCACTATCTTATTCAGCAGCATTCAGATGCATCTGGAAGAGATTAACTTCTACACCCAGTACTTTTTTATGTCTGCGTGCAGCAGAAACTTAATTACAACTAAAATATGCAAAAGCAAATAGCTATTATGAAGGTGGAAGCAACATTTTCCACAAGACCAGAAAAGAAGACAAGCCACAAAAAAAATCCCACACCACATAGTCTAAAGTGAATCATACAGGTTTGGTTGGTTTGGGGTTTATGTTTTGTTTTGTTTTTCCAGTCTTTCTAACTTTTTAACTATCCAGGTTTGTCAATAACAGAGCTCCCCTGGCTTTGCAACTTGTCTCTCCCCTCAATCCCTATCCTCCCATCCAGCACCCTCACCCCTTAATTTCTGTGACCCAAAATTGCATCTCTCTTTAAGAAAAATATCCAAAACTGCAAGGAAAATGAATATATGTTTCAATTCAAGAAGCTTTCAATTAGCCTCATGAAAATCTTTCAAAACTATGCTAGCAGGTTATCTTGATTCCTGAAACTCCATTAAAATGCCAATGCTGTAAGTTTTAGCAGCAACTAGGCAACAAAGAAACACAAAGTTCTAAACTGTTGATCTACATTTTTCCTCTTACATTTTTTAGAAGCAGTTCTATAGAAACTTGTGTTGTATAGGTGATGCATTTAAATACCAGAATTATATAATTACATTGATTCATCTGGCCTCATGTCTGATCTTGGGTCGTGATAACAGTTCCACATAAAGATCAGCCTTCCCCAGTGTCTCATAAACACGTAAAACATCTACATATAGCACTTACTAAGTTATTTAAAAGCATACCTCCCTGGACATAAAATAAAACATATGATAAAGTGCTACTTATAGTGATAATGCTGCTTTCTTTTTATTTCTTCCCTATTACTCCTCCTCTCCCCCTAAATTAGGGAATCAGCAATGTTTAAGCAATACAAATGTCAGTAATTTGTGTAACTCACTGTTCCAGTACATATATCTATTCCTATAAAGGTATTGATTTTTGCAAGTAGCATCCAGTCTAGTTACAAATATACTTGAGAGAGGTATAAATAGCTTTTTTTTTTTTTTTTTTTCTTTTGGAGCAAAGCCAAGTTATACATTTTAAAATGTATAACTTCCCCCACACATCCCTTTTTATGTAGACTGTAACAAACCTGTATTTGAAAAGTAAGGTCCAAAAGATGAGTGCTTTGCCTGAGAACCTTACTGAAACTGAAATGGTTAGAAATGGCTTATTGCAGACCTGGAATGATCTCTGATATGTATGGAAGGAAAGTCTCATCTATATATGAAACTTTGAGTATTTCAAGAAGATGCTAATATAATTTCTTGCATTGCTTTCTAAATAAACACATTCCAAATAGTTTTTCCCACAGGCCCAGTGTTCCTTTGTGCCGTTTGTGTTACATGGCCGCCCACTGGCACTTGTTCAGGGCAGGCCGCACCCTCTGCACAGCTTGGTGTTCTGAAGCTGCACAAGGCCCTTGTCAAACAGGGCACTGTGTGAATCCTCCACCTACTCCACACAGAGGGATGCCCCCTACACTGCAATTGCATACCCAAACCCTTCTCACGAGCAGTTCTTTGTGTGACTTAAACCTTATCTGTGTGTTGAAATGAGGAAGGTTTGCCTTCTGTTTGTTTAAAAGTACATGCGTGTATAATCTTCTATTTTCCTTCTTCCTGCAGGTGTTCCTTTTGATCCAGAGTGAGAAGATAAAAAGTGATTTTGTTTACCTTAGCTGGCTGGCTCGTTGCTGTGAGTCACTTTACTCTCAATATTGCAGAATAGAGATCCTCCTCTATTGCGTCAATCTTGGCAATCCACTTTCCTAATTGAATTTAATGTTGTAGGTGGATTCAGAACTATGAAAGTGAAAAGCTGATTGCACTAGTTATAGTGTGGGTGGTTATTGCACCTTTCATACATCTGGCTTTTATAAGCAATTACTGCTTCAGTGCAATGCAGTTATAGTACTGTCAGTGCAGCTTTGTCCTGACCAGTGACCCTTTTTCTTCTCAATTGTCTACTCAATTGCTTGAGTGAAGACTTTCTGTCTTAAAAGACTGAGATACAGCTCTAGAATGTTCAGAGTAAAACACAAAATAGAAACATTCATACTGGGTCAGGCTCAAGGGTGTGTCTGCCTTCAAGGTTAGCCAATGTCAGATGTCTAGGGAAGAAAGGAATCAGGCAAGCCTACATGGTATTTTTCTTCCTACCATGTTGCTCTACATGTTGTCCAAACTCCTGTGCCTGAGGGATATCCTTTATAATCTCCAGCATGTCTTTTTCTTCCAAAAACTCTTAGAAGTGTTCTTTACTTGAATTTCTTTGAATCCAGGAAACTTTTGCTGTGTTTAATATTCTATAGCAAATCTTATTTACTTTTGCTGAACCAGTTTTTAAAACATTGCAGGGTACACCTCAGTACAGAGACAGCTGCAGTGCCACATACAAAATAGTATAGAAGTGGGCTTTTCTAAGGACTCGAGTCTGAGACTCCCTAGGCTAATTCATTTTTCTTACAGTGCCTCAATACAAAAATGTTTTCTTATCAAACCATTTTCAGCAGTTATACCTTGAATGTAAATATGCATGCTTTGGGTTGTTATGCTATACTGCAGATGTAGTAAACATCTCCTAACATGATCTTTCCAGACAGGCAGATCACACATAGGGATGCCTATCTATGATTCTGTTTTAGGATATGCCAGTTTATTTCCTTTTTAATTAAGCTGCAGTTCCTCATTGTGTTTGAGTGTTTTATATGTGAATGCTTTATTTGAATTTTTTATGGGAATAATGAATATAGTTGTCTTTTTGTGTCAAATATGTAAATAACTAACCGATCACTTTATAATACATTAATGTCAGAGTACAATTACAGATTGAGTAGTAAACAATTCAGTGCTGAAATATTTCCAAGGGGCAAAAAGTACCAGGGATGCATCCTCTTTCATGGCAGAATGTAATTTTTTGTTTATATTTTAATTTTTTTACAGTACTATTTATACCAAATTCTTCTTGAAGAGAAGATCAAAAAACATTGAATTAGCACAGAACTTCATTGCTCTAGATAGATTGGTGTTGGAAATTGAGAACTGGCTGTTTACCACTGTATATGGTATCTGAAGCTGATGAGAGATTTGATGTCTTGCTGCCTCCTAAGTGAGAAGAGTCTATAAATTCTGTGATTTGATGTTATATGTTTATTGTTGATTACCACCCATTCGACCTGCAATATAATTATAGACACAATGGATACAGATATAACAAGCTAAACAGTCCTTCTTTTGAAAAAGCACAAGAGTGATCCTTATGTGAATAGCCAGATACTCTCAGAGCCACTATTAAGGCTTGAAAAAGAAAGGAAAACTTGCATTAAACAAAGAAACACAGAAATATCTGTTCCACCTGCCACTGAATATTGTGCGTAGCATATTCTTTTCACAATTCCAGCTTTTTCTTGTTATTGCAGATATTATGAATAAGAAGCCACAGCTGGCCTGGAAGCTCTATCTGAAGATGGAAACCTCAGGGGACTCCTTTAACCTGTTGCAGCTTATTGCAAATGATTGTTACAAAGTGAGTTTTCTCTTTAGAGCTGGGTGTATGACATGTTAATTCAGTGATTGTACTAAAAGACATTTTTTAGATACTTTTTATCATTGTCATCACTAGTGAACTTTCTTATATAACAGCAAGATGTCTAATAATGTGAATGAGTTGGCAGGGATTAGTCAGTATTTTAACCTACAGGCCTTCTTGGTGGAGAACCCATTGATTAAATTGTTTGGTAATTGTTGGTAAATTACTGCATGCTTGAGCTATCAATAATGATAACAGTTGCTTCTCCTACTAGGGATTCATTATGGGTAGAAATGACAAAAAACTTTAAGGAAAAAATCTAGCATAGATTCAGCAAGATGCCTCATGCTGCTTTTTTTTTTTTTTTTTTTTTTTTTGGGTCAGTATTGTGTTTTCCTTAAAGCTTGTAATGAGAGAGACTCCTTGTGATCTCAAAAGTAATATTCTAAAACTGAGAGAATTATCTCTTGTACATCTTTCAAGTACTCAGTTACCATCTCACCCTAGAAGTCTAGTGGCTATGCCTCTGGTGTTTCCTGTAGATGCAATTTGTGAAAGCAGGTTGATAATCAGACCTCATGTAAAATCTCTCTCTAGATCATTTAAAGTCTCACTTAAATCTGTTGATTGCTTTGTCTGAATTCTTTTCAAAATCTTCTTGTCCTGAAGAGGAGAAGTAGCTCCACATTTTGGATTTATCTAGAGCTCTTAAAAGCTGCATTTATAGAACTAAATTTTTCAGCCTAGTTATATGTCTACGTATGGCCATAAATGACTGCTCCAAAATTGTTACTTTAGTATTATAATTTGTCTTTCTACACTAGCAGCCATTGTACCTCTTGAACTAAATGGCAAGGTCCATGTTGTTTGATTTTATGTGGCATTTTTCAGTTGTTTCTGAAACTTTACATTATATTGGAGGTCCGCAGACAGTTAGAGAGATGTAACTTAAGAAGGCAGACTTTGGGCTTTAGGCTTTGCTCAACAGAAAACAATGAGCATGGATGGAACAAGGTCAACAGTGTTCTGAGTGTTGGTGCAGCTGGATTACTCATTGCTGTGCTGATAGAAATTGTTCAGTAAGGAAGTTGGCATGCAGGATTTCATGCTAATTTCTCAATGCTTCTTATGCAATAGCCCATCTTGTCCATATGGAGAACAGCAAATGACTTGGGGTGAAGCATTTCCTAGATTTATGTCAGATAAAAGGAGAACATCAAATCTGTATCTGCTTAATGGAACTAGATCAGATACTAACTTGGATAGATCAGTATTCTAATTTTTCTTTTTAGCTGACACATCTGATAGTGTTCATACTCACTATCTTTATTCCCATACATTTAAGTGTTTGCCAGTCACCAGTGGTTAAAATCAACATTTTTATGAAGAGAATTATTACTCATCCTGTAGTACCAGTGTTTCTCTGACTAAGGTTTCCAAATGTAGCTCCCACAGCCTGCACTTTTTTCTCTGCAGCCTTCCAGCTACCAAAGGATGGGAGGCTGTGTTCAGTCTACCTTCTGTGATCTGTCATGGGAAGATGCTAGTCACAAACAACAAACAACATTGCCCTTCAGGCTTGCCCAAGTGGAGAACACTCACACAGCCCACACAAGATACGCTATGCTGACTTCAAAAGACACAGTTAATCTGGTCACTCCTTTTGCATTGACTGTTGCCAAGCAACTTGCTCCTGGTTCCCAGTTACAAGTAGAGAACCTAAGGGAGAAAAGATAGGGTACACATTGGATTTTCCTATGCTAAGGAAAATTTTGGATTATAGGGTCACTGAATTTTCTTTTGTAATTGTATCAGCGAAGAAAAAAGTTTAAGTTAAACCCAGGAGATAATATGTGGCTGTGTCTACATGAGGAAATGTGATTTCATTTTCAAATGTCTAGACTAGTTGGAGGTTGATATTCTGTCAAGGGTTTTGGTATAGTTGGTATGACAATAGATAAGGGCACCTCAAAAAAAGATGTTATAATACCACCTGTTTCCCATTTTCCTAACTGCAATGTCCCTGTTCTGTGTCACTTGCTGCCTGCAGAAAAACAGGAAGCATGTTGCTTCTACAGCTTACTGCTCATTTCAGAAAACTGAGCTCAGTGTTCTCAATCCCCTTCTGAAAGGTGGTCAGGAATAATGTTTCACTTTCTGTGCAGATGCGTCAATTTTACTATTCAGCCAAAGCCTTTGATGTTCTGGAGAGACTGGACAATAATCCTGAGTACTGGGAAGGCAAGAGAGGTGCCTGTGTGGGTGTATTTCAGATGATCTTAGCTGGCCGAGAAGCAAAGTGAGTATTCTGTGTTGTAGCTGAATTAATTTTGCTTTTTTCCTATTTTCAGCTAGCTGTAAGTCAGAATCATAATCTCAGCTTTAGAACTACATATCATCTTCCAATCTTTATTGACCTTTCACAGTATAGACACTCTGTCCAGAGGCTCCATATGCAGTCTTCAACTTGAAGTGTCTCTTGCACACCAACAGTTATAGAATATATGGTAGAGAATATTTTATGAGCAAGTGCTGTGGACTACAAAATACCAGAATACTGTCATCATCACTAGGAAAAGCTAGGTTATAAGTGTAGTAGTATGTTCATGAACTGGGGGAGAACAACATCATTTCATGTTGATGGTGTAAGAATGGAAAACTATCACATGACATTTTAAGGTGCATAGAACAAAACTAAGGAAACATTTACTCAACATTGTAGGAAGGACATGATTTCTCTAAACAAAGAGTAGATGAGACTGTGTTTTCATTAAAATTTGCCTTCTGAAGACATTGACCATAAATATACTTATTGATGAAAGCTTAAAGGAAGTCATCTGTGTTACTGATGATTTCAGTTTTGTCCCATTTCACTGGATGGGGAAATGAGAGAGAGTAGTGAAACTGTATTTAAGAGCTGCTCCCTTGAGAATATTCTGCTGTGATGCCAGATGGCTACTGTCCTCTGGCCAAAGTTGCTGTGTCCTACAGGACTGGTAGGTGTGTATCTTGGCTTCTACACCTTCCTTCTTTTCACTCTTCTGCTGGAATAATCTCATTAACTACTGTACCTTTCAAGTGTCCTTTTCATCTTCCAATCACTGCAGCAGATGCGGTGAAATACACAAAGCTTGGCTGTTTCTCAAAATATGCAATTTAGTTCTTACTGTAAACCAACTGGCAAACTGCAACAGGACTTACACAGGCTTAATAATAATAGGTTTATTCTATTAGGAATGTTGATTTCCATGTTATTTGTGTTTATGTGTATTGTGTTATGTGTAAAGTGCTTTGGCAAAGTAAAGCTTGATGTTGCCATACTAAAGAGTAGCAAATAACACTAAAGATTTTTTTTTCAAACTTTGGTTTGTTCTGGGGGACAATTTCACAAGAGTGAGGATATGTATACAAATACACACATATGCACACACTAAATTAATTACATTTTGGTGATTTTTTTTCTTTAACTTATAATTTCTTTACAATTGTATACAAGACTTTTTCATTGGTTGCTTTTTTTGTCTATGGGATCACATCTAGAGGGCATTTTAACCTATTCCAGCAGTGCAGATGAATGGACCTCTCACCTCAGAGGACCCATGTTTTGTGAAATAGTTTGATGTAAGCAGTTTGTTGTATCAGCTGGGTCTAACCCTCACTTAAATCTTTGCTTTTCACCTTTGCAGAGAAACTCTGCGGGAAGTACTGCACCTTCTGAAGAGCACTGGTAATTCTCAAGTAGAATACATTGTTCGCATCATGAAAAAGTGGGCCAAGGAGAACAGAGTCCCTGTTTGAGTCAGTGTCACAAAATGAACTAGGTCAGTTGCTACTGTATGTCTGGCTGCAAGACAAGGGTCTTGTTCTCCTGTGCATTCTGGGCATCTCCTTGCAGGACTTCAGGCATTCAAGCAGGTTGACCCAGCTGAGGAGGAGTGTCCTGTAGTGAGATTCAAAACATACAGTATGTTGGTTTTTTGGTGTTTTTTTTGATTTTTTTCTTTTAATTAAAACTTTATTGGTACTTTTTCTGTTGCACCACTCCATTCTTTGAAAAAAGTTTCATTTTTTTCAATAGTAGTTTCAACTGTCCACAAATCAAAATGCACCTCAAATGTTCCCCTAATTCCTCCACAAGAGTTACTGAACTGCATGGTAGGGGTTTCTTTTCCCAGCAAACCTTCTGGCCTCTGGAGAAGAATCATTTGTTACATGATTCAGACAAACCTTCAGCAAGTGATGGAATGTAGTAAATGGAGATTGTGACAGTGATACCACTAGGCATTACTAGAGTATTGGATAATACAAAAGGCTTAACATAGAATCATATAATCATAAAATGGCTTGGATTGGAAGGGACATTAAAAATCATCTAGTTCCAACCTGCCATGGGCAGGTACAGCTTTCACTCAGAGCTGTTCAGGTGCCTCAGAGCTTTATCCAACGTGGCTTTAAATAGTTCAAGGGATGGGCCATCCACAACCAGGTAGCTTGTTCCAGTGCCTCACCACCCTCATAGTAAAGAATTTCTTCCTGATATCTAAGCTAAATGTAATCTCAGTTTGAAACCATTTGCTGTTGTCCTGTCACTACATGCCCTTGTGAAAAGTCTCTCTTCTTTAGGACTTTTATAGATTACCTCTCTGGGGTAAAATACAAACCATATTCTGAGGAGTATCATTTTCTGGATGAATTTCAATTACCAATACCCTAATTTGGAGGTTTTTTGTCTGTAAGGATTGTTTTCTCTCTTACCTTTTTCAGAGCATGGAGACTTATTTGACTGACGGTACTGTTCAATCTCACTTTGAAATTTAACACTCAAAACATTTATTCATGTTAATATAGTTCACATGAGAACTTTAGTGATCTGATAGATAAAAAGATCTTCTGATTTCTTTTCTTCAGCATTTACCACCATCATGAGCAATATATTCATTCTACTTCTGGATTTATTATACTCTCCTGTTTTTTTAAGGAGAACAGTTCAGGGAATACATAATTCTGAGAGAAGGCAACAGTTCTAACATAAAAATGTGTTATACATTTGGTAGTAAAAAAATTTGTATATTATTTGTAAAAGGAAGCTTTACATTTTATAAATTTGTGAAATACTTAAGAAGTATTTTTTTTATCTTTTGAGGGGAATTCAGAATACCATATTCTCTACTGTCTGTGCATTGATTAAAGCTCTTATTTGAATCTACAGTTGAATGTCTGATTGGTCTGTGTTGCTTCATACTGCAGAAGTTGAGATAGTATTTTCATTTTGCTATGGAAGAGGGCAGGTTTGTGGCTGGTTGTTAAGTGCATGTTCATCAATCAGTCAAAGGCAAGCCAATGGCCTTGGTCCTGATCTTATGCTAGTTTGCTGAAACTAAGGCAGCTGTGTGTATGTGGAACATGCACACCCTTCTGCTATATAATGTGTCTGGTTTTACTGCTTTAAGCAAAATATCTGGGTATTATTGTTCAGGTGTTTAGAAGTACATTGATAGTTGTGGTTACTTGCACTTAAATCTAGAAACTGATCCATCACACTAGCAACAATAAGCCTTTCAGCAGCGGCAGTGTTACACTCATTCAAAAGAGGTGTGAAAGGAGCAGTATTTTCACTGAAAGCAGTTACAAAACACTTCACTCGTGAACAGCATTTTTCATTTCCATCTCAGTTTAATTAAATTGGAAACAGATTGGGAATACAATTATGAATCTTGGTACAAAGCTTCAAAAAATCATGTTGGTGGCTTTGTAGCAGATGTTAAATGCATCTAATTACTGCCTTTATTGAAGCTTAACCTGCAGGAGAGCTGAAGAGCATCCAAATCCATTACAAACCATTTTACATGTTGGTTGAACCTTCTGAAGTAAGTGTGATGACTTTGCAGCATAAGGGCTTAGGGAATTTTAAATTCTCTCATCTGTAATCAGGGAAGAAGTTTTTTTTTAAAACCTCACCTTTATTTACTGTAGCCATAATGTCATATTTGATATGCTAAATAACATGGGGTTTAGCACAGTGCATTTTACTGAGTGGTAATAAAGCTTTTATCATTTAAGATATAACAGGGGACTGCAGGGCTTTGCCTTGAGCAGTGATGAAATAAGGTATTTTACATAATGTCTTAGGGTCTTGGTAATAGAACAGATATGTAGGTACTATTAAAATGCAGAACAAGAAAAGTACTGAAATACAGATGTTTATTTTACCTTAGAAATACATCCAGAATGTGTGTTCCATTGTTTAATCTGAGGTCATATTCAAAGAACAGAGATGAGAAGTTGCCTTAGCTGATACAGAAATGAAAGGTAGTAAAGAATAGATAAAATTTTATCCCTGACCATTTCTATATTTCCCTAAACTGTGGAAATTTAAGGAGTCAAGGTACTCTAAATAGGATGGCTGGGGGTAAAGGTAGATGTGGAGGAAAAGAAAAGTGACCTACTGAGCAAGGAGGCAGTGAAGAATGCATGTGCAGTCAGGGAAATGGATACATTTATTGGGTCAGAACTAAGCAAATTGAAACAGTGGCATTTCAGATAATGCAATGAAAGGAAGACTAAGGCAGAAAGAAATTGCTGCATCATTACAATTTCAAGGAAGAATATGAAAATTAGAGTTATTTCTTATATTCTGAGTAAGCATCTGATTCTGGAAAAATTAACTACAGAGAATGCACAGAAGGTACTGTGCTAGCAATCATAGCATTAATAGTGAGTAGTAGAGAAAGCCAAATCCCAAATAGTAACTGCTTTTAGTTGGGTGCTGGCCCATTCCTGATGGATAAGAAAGTCAGCCTTGAATTAAACTTGTTAATACCTGAACAACAGTTATAACAGTAACATCTAAGGGAACTAAACTGGAGGCAGCAAGTTCACTGTGAAAGAAAAGTCATGTCACATTATAGCTCTGGACTGTAAGCAGGCATTTAGGTTTATGTGGTTCCCTTGGCTGGAAGCTGGCTCATTGATCTTCATAAAAAAGCTGTCTGAGCGTGAATGAGGAACTTGGCTATTAGGTACTCAGACACAAAGTAAACAATTACCTAAATGGCTGTTGCTGCCTGTAGCTTCTCTATATGGGAGCTGTACATACATTGAAGAAAACATCTAGATTTTGCCCACTGGTTTACTCTTTAACCATTTTTCCTCTGTATTATCTCCCGAAGTAACTTCCACTCCACTACATTTGAAGTTTCATTTCCAAATTTCCCTCTTCCCTTTCAATCTATTTCACGGTCATTGAATAAGTAGACAATTGCATGAAAGTGTTACCAACAACCTCAAAATCAAGCCATTAATCAACAGCTAGAAAAGCTGGCCTGACTCTACATAGTGCAAGATGGTAGATTTCAACAGTGTTGAATCCAGTAACTAACTCGACTTACCATAAAACACTTGCCAGGAAAAACTTAGAGTGTTAATTTGAAGATGGATAATGAAAAATCCATAGTTTTATTTTGAAATTTATTCAAATAGTTAAATCATATTTGCTTTTTTAGAAACTGTACCTTAATGCTAAATTAAACTTGTTTAGCCTTGTTTTCTAATATTCAGTTCTTCCAATGTTCATCATCGCTGTTTGTTATTAAAGCTTGGTTTGCTTTTTGCAAAAAAATTGGTTTGCTATTAAATTCTTTGGTTTGGTTTTTTGGTGGTTTTCTTTGGAGGCTTTTTTTCATCTTTAGGTATACTTAAAGTGCAGCAAGTCAATTCTTGTTTGTATGAAAGACAGCTTCCCTTGTAAAGGTGTTTTGCAGGCTGGAACACTGGCAGTTGGTTTGTCAATAGATTTTTTTTGAAAACATGGCTGTTTAGCACTGGGCATAATTTATCTCTGTGTGTAGCATTGGAATATGCTTCTCCATAGTGCTGCTTTCTCCTGCATGGGTACTCAAAGACTTATTCACCCTTTTTGCTATATTATCATGGGGGAACCTTGCATTAAACTGGTTCTTGGCTGGGACATGATATCTAGGATTTTTCCAGAACTGGCATTTTCCAGAATACAGTCTATGCTTTGGAAGAGACAGACTACCTTTTGTTCTACAAAAACACATTTTGTTCAAATTGGCTCAGTTTTCCAGCTTGTGCAGACCACTCTGCATGACTACTTATCCCAAATAATTACTGGTTTGTTTCTCTGTAGCTATTTATTAGCACAGTTTTACAGCGATATCTGGGTCATCAAGGGGTATGTTGGATCCTCCATTCTTCCAGGATCCCCAAGACTTAATTCATTCAATTCATTATTGATGACTGATGGCTGCTTTTCATAATTTGCCAGCCTCAAATTATTTAACATGTACCTTACAGATATGTTACTATGCTATTCTTTAAAATTAGGTATATGACATCATAAATGTATGCATTGCACTTGTAGGAACAGCAGTATTGTTATATTCAGCTAATCTTGTAAAAGATCCATGTCATAGGATATACTTCCCATTCATTCTTTATTAGATGAGCCTTTCAGCATCCCAGAGAGTCTTACGGAGTGCAGTTGCTCAAGTCCTTTTGCATAATTTGAAACAACTCTTTTTTTGGCCCTGCAATCATATTTAGCCACACACTAAAAGGTTACCTTTGACTTTGTAGAGTTTAAGCTTTCATTTGGAACAAATAAAGCAGGTATTTCACATCTCTGGAAAAGGGACAGCTCCTAAATTCCTTATAGGTCTTGCTTAATTGACAAATTACACTAGCATCTAGTAATAGTTTTAAAAATAAAAGTAATGTCTGTGTTTAGTAAGAGCTGTGACTTTTGAATAGACACAGTGTATTCTTCAAATAAAAAGAGAATTTCTGTTTCACCTAATACTTACATGCTTGAATTGTGCTTAGTTGCTCCACATTGTATTATTCTCGGTAATTCTTTAGAAGAATTTAAAATATTGCAGAAATAATGGTCTTTAATATGTTTTTACAATACATCCTCGAAACTGTGGGTCTCCAGTTATTTGAAAAGGAAATATGCTGTCTCACAGTTCGTAGTGATTCTCAAATACAGCTCAATCAAACTAAAAAGTGGGATACTATGTATGCTGTTCCATGAACCTAGGAACTGCACTGAGTGTTTTGCAGCCTTAAACCACATTTTAAGCTGGTCCTTAACTGGAGATGAGTGGTGAGCCTTAGACTTTACCTTGATCACTGTAAGCAACTTCCATGTGGTCAGTTCTGTGAGAACACACATGCAACAGTGCAGAATTATAAAAGGTAACATTTTAAGAACACATGTAATAATGTGAATATTGTTTACATCACGTAGAAAAGAACCATGCTCCAATTCCAATGAGCTGCATTGCTCATTGTAACAGCTACAATTTTCTTGGATGATTTTGTCTTTCTTAGGGAAAGCATGATGGGATCATAATTCATGTCTACTCTAATGCTACTTGTAGTCTTTTTCTTGCTTTACATTAGTGGATGAGGCCATTATATGGGGACCCATTATGTGACAAAACTCAGTTTC